CCCATCCATCCGCCTGCACGGAGCAGCGATGCTGAGCAGACGGTCATCTGTCAGTTGCCGCCACCCCGTGAAGGGAAGGATGACACAAAATCTGGTGGGACAACTGCGCCGCAAGTTAATGCTGAGCCGTCACGTCAACTCGAGGATTGGCGACAGTCTGCGGCGGCTGACGCACCCAACACCGTCGATCCGAGTCCCGCATCCAACACGGCGACCAACACGTCCGAGAAAAAGCTTGAGTTTGCCACCAATTCGAGCGAAATGATGGTTCCGAATGCATCCAAGAAGAGGCCTTCATTTGCCAACGGTCCGAGAATATTAGTGGCTCTGAATGTATCGGGGATCATGTCTGTCACTTATGGCGGCAGGGAACATGTTGCTGCGGATAACACGGACGAGGTGAGTGAGCGCAACGCCACCGGACACAAATCTCTCGTTTTAGAAAATGGCGTTGCGGGCAGTGGATTTGTTGCTGAGGGTGATGCGGACGGATTGACTCAACGCAATGCCTCTGGACACGAAAACCCCTATTACGAGAATTCACCGCGCAGTATTCCGGGAGCGGTGTGTGTCCCGACGACTGCGTTGCCCTGCTGTACGACGCGAAATTGACACTGCGTGAGTTAACTGTTGACGGCACTGTGCGTGTGTGCGTGTATTGGGTGTTGCTGCTTCTTCTGGGATTGTGGGGGGTTGTGGCGGTCTTCTGAGCCAAAGAGTGTGAAATTGTGACTCCTCACGGAGAACATGTGCCGCGTTGCATGCGTGTTTTCTTTTATTATTTACGTTTTACTTTTGTTTGTTTTGTTGTTTTCCTGGAATGATACGTATCCTTGCTGTTCCTTTATTCAATGGTCGGTTGCTGCACACTGTCATGTGTGACGTGTTTCTCCCTCTACTTGTTTTGTTTTTGTTGCCCTCACGCGGTGCCGGCCTCATTGCTGTGCGTCCCACGGACCGCGCGAAACGAGGATTGGAGGAACAGGCCGGATGCCGCAATGAAATGTGAAGGAATGTTGTGTGGGCTGGTGGAACAGTACGATCTTTTTTTATTTGATTTTTTTTCTTGGTGAAGGCATTATGTATACAGAAACACACACGGTTGTCTTGTGCTGCTTGGCATAAGAAATAAGAGTGCTGCCCGATTGATTTTTTTTTAAGTTTTGGGGGTTTTGTTGGACTCCATCATTTTTTTTTTTTCTTTTTTTGTTTTTTCCGCTTTTTTAAGTTCTGGTTTGCGGGTCGGTGTGCGAGTTCTGCGGTTGTAATAATTCCATTTGTCTCTTTTTTGGTGTGCGCTTCTTCTGGCTGCTGCCATTTATTACCATGCGGTGGCTGTGCGTGGTGTAGCTGCTGTCTCTCTCTAATTCCTTTCTCATGCTCCTGCAGATCGAATCCACGTTATTCAACAACGATAGTTTTGAAGATGATGTGCCGTGTGTTTTGTGTCGTGTTGGTGCTGGCACTGCTGTGCTGCTGCTCGTGCGTGTTTGCCGTGGAGGAAGGGGAGGAGCAAGAGCCGCAGGTGACGCAGGTGAATGCAGAGTGTGCGGGTAAGGATAAACTTGCGCGTTGGCAGCTCCCTGGGACGTCATTGTGGTACAACTGCACGACTGCAGCTGCTGGTTTTGGGCTGATGATTTGCGGCATGGGCGTCGGAAACTGTGAGCCCGAGGATGTTCAGAGACGTATAAAAGATGGTGCGAAGGATGGCGTCTTCACAATCAACGTCACATCGCCCACTCCAAGCGCGGTGAAGAGTTGGTGGGAGCGTAACGTTGAGTCGAAGGCGGTCACCGTTGCAAGTGTTCCGGCCAAACCTCCGGAAGTTCCTCCGGGCTCTCCAGAAGACAAGATTTCTCGTGAAACATCTTCCAGAGCGGATTCTGAACCTCCTGCTGACGCTGAGAGTGCGGCTGGTGCCCCTTCACTGGCTGGAGCTCCGGGTGGCGCTGGTGAAAGTGTTCCGGCCACACGTCCGGAAGCAGGCACTCCGGCGGCTCGACAAGAGGAGGCTTCTCGTGACGCCTCCACAACAAATTCAAAATCTCCTCCTGCTGTCGTTGAGAATTCCACGGATGTCCCTCCTTCTTCTCTACCTGCAACTCCAGGCGGCGCTGGTGCTAACTCTGCTGCTGGCGCTGCGGCCACGACGGATTCTTCTGCCGAGGCCTCGCGAGCACCGGATTCCGCTCCCGCTGGTGATCCTCAAGGCGCTGCACATTCTACTTCTGCTGCTTCTGCTGCATCCGAATCCCCACCAGATCCAAAGCCCACAGAAGGCAGCGACCACTTTTCCCATGACCCTCCAGTGGAGCTGCCGGAAGAGAATGCTGCTGCGCCACCGACTCAGTTGTCCCAGACCGGCGAGGACGGGGGTGCAGCGGAAGGCGCCGAAGAGGACACCGCCGCCAACACCACCGAAACTGATTCCAGCGAAGGAAATAATATGGCGGCAAGCATGCCGGCTCCTCTTTCCTCTGCGCCCACAACGAACGCGCCGGAGAACAGTGTGGGAACTGACGCCTGCTTCCATGACACCCGTCTGCATGCCCTGCCACTGCTTTTTCTGGCTGCACTCACCTACGGGACACTGGGCTGAAGAAGTGTATGCGGGCTATTAAAGCCAGCACTCAACCACGGGATGCTTTGCGCTTCTTTTGTTTTATTGCGTAATAAATAAGAGAAAATAATGATTGTGTGTTTTGCTTCATTTGCTTCAGCTGCGCTGCTTTGTGCTCCATGTTGTTGACCCCTGTATCCGTCACGTTGAACGCATCCCAGACACACTTATATGCACGACACGCCCACGACTGTTTGAGTGGACGCATTTTTGTGTGATAATGCATGCACGCTGGAGCCATTTGTTGCAGCTTCTTGTGTTTTGTGTTTCGTATGTGTTTACTTATTTTTACTTTTTTTTTTATGTTGTTGTTTTGTTGTTGCTTGTTTTTTGTGTTGATTTTCCTTGTTTTTTACTTCCTTCGGGGCGTTGTGAGTTTTTCTTTTTTTTAATTGTTTATTTTCTTTAATTTTTTCTTTTTCTTTTGTTTCCTAATCTTTTACTCCCCCATCCCTCCTTTTTTTTGCTTTTGGGGGCCAATCAGTATGGACGTTTTTTCTTTTCTACTCTTCCCTCTTTTAATTGTTTCTTCTGCACTCTTCCTGTGAGGGGTGCCGTGTGTTTCCCGCCCAACTGCTCCACTCGCACACCCACCGACACGCTCATGACGACGGCCCTGTGCGCCTCGCCTGCTGCACGCATGAGGAGGGGCCGCGACGAACGGCGCGCTGAGGGAGCCGTGACGTGTGGGCGTGCGACGAGGGCCTGTGGGGCGGAGCACACATTTCTTTCCCTCTTGTTTTGTTTTATTGCGGCCAGGGCGGGCAGACACCCGCAGCGCCACACACACACAGCCACACCCTGCCGCCGTGTTTTTTTTGTTCTTCTCTTTGTTCTTGTGGGTGTGTGCTGCCACCGTGCGTGATTGTTGAGGTTTGGGCCGCACCGCGTTTACCGCTGCCATCCAGCTGTGCCTCTTGTTGTGATGATGTGCCTCCCTGTTCTCCTCTTCTTTTCTGCTCTTCCAGCAAACACACATAAGTATTTGCGCAGTGCACTGCAGGAATGCTCTTTGAGGCGGCTGCACGTTGGCTTGCGTGTCCCGTGCTGACATGATGACCGCCATGCGTGAAGGTGTTGCCTGCTCTTGGGGTCATTCTCTCCTCTGTTTTTGCACTGCCGGGTGCGTGCGTTGCTCGGTGTGTGACGACGCGTGACGGACGGTGCCATGATGGCCTCCTCTGGCGATGAAAATCGGTGTGCTCTCGGCACACACCCACACACTCTTCGTTGTCTCTCTGTGGGAGTGGTTGCGTCAGTAGCGTGACCTACGGCAGCGGCAGCTGGTGTCTTGGAGAGGGACGAGGCGCCGCCGAGTCTGTTTGTGCTGGACGCGTTGAAGTGCGAGGACAGCCACACGAACACCCGCACGGTTGCTGCGCCGTACTTTTTCCAGCACTCCGGCGCCGGCAGCTACACGACGTTGTCGCGCTGTGTGAGTTGCGCGGCCGGGGCATGCCGGCGATTGTGAGGGAAGTGGAGTACACGGAGCTGCTTGACTGAGGGAGGAGGTCGCGGACGTTGCGGCGCAGCGGGAGCGCATGAGGGAGTGCGTGTGCTGGAGGGCCCGACGATCCCGAGGCCTGTGCTGGAGGGGCGCGTGTTGAAGTGAGCGTGGGGAGACTGTGAGGGACTGAGGAGAGGGAATAACGGTAATAGTGACTGTGGGGGTGTGAGGAACGGGACAAGGGCGAGGAGCGCTTCTCTTTTGTTTTTGTTTCGTTTTGATTGTTGTTGTGGTGGTGCGTGGCACTTATTGCTGGATGGGACGGTGCGTGGTTGTGTGACTTTTCTCTCCTTTTGCTTTTGCTTTTTGCTCTGCGTTGACGGGAAGTTAATTTGTGTTGAAGGCTACACGCAAGTGACAGGAGTGATGGCGATGATGATGACTGGCCGTGTGCTGCTGGTGTGTGCCCTCTGCGTGCTGTGGTGCGGTGCCGGCGGTGTTTATGCGAGGGACGGGGAGAACAACGCATTGGGTGGCTGCATGACGTCGGAAGTGTTGGGAGCGTGTTTCTTCCACATGTCGAGCGGATGTAATAAAACGGCGATTACGGTGCCATTGCGGTCAACGTTGCCCATTACTGCCGTTGAAGCTTCGGCTGAAGGAGAGACTCCTGTTGCAGGACTCAACGATTCGGGTTCAAATGAAGACTCCATCGCTGGTGCCCCTGCTGGTGCAGCTGCTTCTCCTTCTGGTCCTTCTGGTGGTAGTGACGGTAAAAATGAGCCTTCAGGGCCTCTCTCTTTGGATGTTGATTCTTCAGCTGGCAGCAGTAATGGTGAGGCGGGATCCAGAGGCAGTACTTCATCTAACGCAGTGGGAGAGCCCCCAAGAGAAAATCCGTCGCCTGATGTAGCAGCAGCGGCCCACAACCCCCCGCCACCCGGTGGAGTGGCAGGAACGACACCCGGCAATAAAGGCGAAAAAGAAGAAGAAAAGGAAAAAGAAAAAGAAAAAGAACTGGACGAAGAACATAAAAGGAATCATGGACAAGAAAATCAGTCCCGGCTTGCAAATCAAAGTGAAGGAGAAATTGGACGAGAAGGTGAACGACTGCACAAAAAAACAAAAGTCCCAAAAGAAGAAAAAGAACAAATACAAGTTGTCGAACACTCAATCGAAAACCAGGGTACACTTCATGAACCAGGAAAAGAACCACAAGAAATAAAAAGGGAAAATGAACAAAGTAAGCATCAAAATGAAGAACTAAAAGGAGGTCAAGAAAAAGAAAATCCACTGCAAGCAATACAGCAAAATTCAGACGCTGAGGAAGAAATGAAAAAAAACCGACAACAAGGCCAACGACCGCAAGAAGTAACGGCACCGCTCGCCTCATCTTCGGGGTCAGAAGCGACGCGAAAGTCACAGTCACCTGTACCACCAGAGGCATTGCATAAGAAAGAGCTAACTGACGGTTTAAGAGAGCAGCTGGAAGAAGAAACCCCTTTGGCTGCCACACAGAGTAAATCCCATGGAACCACTGACCCACAATCGTCACCCGCATCAGCCATTGCTGGTGAAGCTGCTGTCACTCATGATGCAGACGAGGAAAACGCGACGGGTCGCAACGATGATGAACCCATTGAAACGGTATTTGCAGATGACCATCAACAGCATGAACATCCCGAAAACATACAAAAAGAACCCGCGAAAGACAAAAACGCCGTTATTACAAATGGCACGGCGACACCTGGCGACAGTGACAGCAGCACCGCGGCCTCCCACACCACCTCCCCTCTTTTGCTTCTTCTTGTTGCGTGTGCGGCTGCGGCTGCGGTGGTGGCCGCGTGAGAGTGAGGGAGAGAGAGCCGTGCACCGCCCGCACACACACTCGTCCTTCTCTCACTCTGTGTGTGTGTCCCCTTGCATGGACTCTCACCCTCACCTCATCCCACGAAGCACACACATAATGTGCCCATTGTATATATGCATGCACACCCGTGCAGGCCCGTTGGTGCTCTCTTTTGCACCACACGCACCGCTGCCGTCCTGCCTGGCTGCATGGGCGGAGCACCGTAACTGTTTCTGTTTTTGTTTTCATTGCATTGAGTGGGCGACCTCTCTCTCTCTCTCCCTGTGTGTGTGTTTTGCTTTACGGGAGCAATGAGAGTGTGTGCGCTGGTCGTCCCACGCTTCGGCTTTTCTCTTATAGTTTTGTTGTTTTACTTGTGGTTGAGTGCACCCATTACCCTTGTTTTTGAATTGGTGGCTTGCTTTGACTGCGTACGCCTAAATTCTCTTTTTGTATTTTTTCTTTTGAGATATTGTCAGTGTTTTTTATTCTTGTCAAGCCATTTTCTTTTACGTACAGCATGTGTCAGTTGATCCACGTTACCCCACGGTCTGCAGTGCTGCTGGTGCTTCTGGTTGTGATGAGGTTTGTGATGTGTTGTGCTGGCGGGTGCTTTGCTGCCAGCCTGACGTACTCGTGCTCCTCTGACAAAGCGGTGCGTGCGGACAGGGCGAAGTCGATCCCGACTGTGGTGAGGGACGTGCCTTTTGGATCTGAGGGTGCGTCGCAGACATGCAGCGTCATTGGGAGGAATGGATGGGTGCCCATCCGCATCAATGTGTCGACAAGGGACCTGGATGATACCAGGAAGTATTGCAGCTCGGAGCGGTATTGCGCAATGAATTCATTGGTGGCAATTGCGAGTGTGAAGGTGACGTTTTTCTATGCTGAGAGAAGGGAAATGTTTGTTTTGTTATACTTTGCAGCCGCTGTTCGCTAATGGCCTGCGGGCTGTCCGTAGCGATGCGGCCAGTTTTTCCTTCTTGAATGGTGCTGTCGTGCGAGAGGGTGTGTTCCCAAATAGTCGGATGCTGAGTTGTCGAGGACGGGGGCATTCCCACAGCGTGTGCGGCAGGCCCTTCCGTGGATTGTCGGGGGCTCAGCGGCTGGTGGTGGTTGCAGCAGAGGAGTGGCTGAAGGGCTACGGCTGTCATTGGAGCTTGCAGAGTTGCGTTGTCCGTTTTTTGCTCGTTGATACGCTTGACATTTTTGGTGGTGACCTGCGCGTGAGGCACTTGTTGGGAAGACCGTGGAGCTGTCGCAGAATCCACATGTGAGGCCTTCTGCAACGATTGGAGTGCCAGGGTTAGTGCGTCGGGCGTGTGCCTTCATATTGTGGACGGACGAGAAGACGCTGCTGCAGCTTGGGCAGGGCGACGTTGATCCGCTGCTCGTCATTCTACGAGGAGGTGCCGTGGACACGCCAGGTGGAGGTTCCGGAGGAGATCGGGGTGGTCCTGCCTCTTCAGTGTGAGGAAGGGACGGCACCACCGACATAAAGGGTTGCTTGTGACCTGCAGGGCGCGTGCCGGTATTTCGAGGAGTGGGCAGGAGGACGTCCATCAGCCGCTTGTTGGTCGGCAAGGAGTGGCGGCGCTCACGTCGGGAAGAGGTTCCGGTGGAGGCAGAGCACAGACGCGGCCCCAACAGCACCGCAGCACAGCCGATCCCAGAGGGCAGGGACGTGGCGCTGCCATGCCTCGGGGTATCACAGGCCTTGGCTCGAGAGGGCACCAAGCTGTTTCGCACGGACCTCTGACAGCATGGAGAAGCCACGGCGGAGGGCATAATTGCGGTCCTCCCGTTTGCGGAGCACTTCAGCTCGGGGCAGGCTGCCGCTGCAACACACTCGGCCTGCTACATTCCGTCCGTCCAGGTTCCTGTGGGACTGTCACGGCTGCCACTCGTACGGTGCCTCGGTGCATCTCCAACCATGTGATTACAGCAGCCAGAGGCGTTGCACACGCCGAGGTGGAAGCATCACAGTCAGCTTCACGCAGGGAAATGGCATCATGTTTCCGTCGTGGCAGCATGCCTGCCTGTCGCGGGATGCCGTCCTCCGTCCCTGCACTGTGGGATGGCAGATGGTGGTCCGAGTCCATGTAAACGGGTGGACGTTTAGTGGGAGACACGCAGTACGCGTTGCGCAGTCACCTCGGGAAAAGAGACGCTGCAGCCGCTGATCCACGTTGCCTGTGCCGGGTCGTCGGACAGCTCAGAGTCCATGCCGCTTGGGGTGGCGGCGAGGTCCTCTCCTGCCGTCGTGGACGGTGATCGACCGTCCCGCGGCTCATGGTGTGAATTCAGGTCGCAAATAACCGCTGCAGGACCAAGGCGACGAATGTTGCTCGCAAAGTGAGCAGCGTGAGCAATTGCCGTGGGAAGGCTGCAGAGGTTCACCACGTACATGCTGGAGCAGGCCTGTAGGCGCACGCGGAAGGCGGTGGTCTCCACGCAGTTGGTGCCACGAGCAACAGGTGCTCGCACGGCAAGGTGTGGCGCACCAAGAAGGCCACGCCACCGGCACCCCCACTGCAGGCCTGGTGGAAGACACTGCAGCCAATGAGCCTCGTCGCTGGGGCTCACTGGTGCCTGCACTCCTGCAGAAGAACCATGCCGGGATGGTGCTGCGCCAGTCGAGCAGCAAGGGCAATCCTGAAGGGCGAAGGGCCTGAAGTTCTGAGCTGCCAGACAACTACGAGGCCATCCTCATCGAGGCTGCGGCTCTTGCGGACACCACCGCAGCGGGTGATGCCGACGGAGTGACCGCAATGAAACAACTGTGCGGTTCTGTCAGTCGGGCTGCAAGAAAACCGCCTCGCCGCTCCACAACCGACAGATCGTGGGACCTTCTCGAGGGGTGACGCCGTCGTGGTCCCCATCACGCTCGCAGCAATGCCCTGCCGCAATCACTCCCACAGAGAGACAAGGAAGAGTGTGTGGATGTGTGCCGAGAGCACAGCGACTGTCATCGTCAGCGGAGGCCATCGCGGCACCGTCCGTCACGCATCAGCACACACCGAGCAACGCCCACAACCGGAAGTGCAAAAACAGAGGAGAGAATGGTCCCAAGAGCAGGCAACATCTTCACACACGGCGGGCATCGTGCAGCCGTGTTGCCATTTCAGCACGGGACGCAAGCCCACGCCCCGCTGTTGCCAAGAGCATTCCTACAGAGCACTGTGCAAATACTTATGTGTGTGTGCTGGAAAAGCAGAAAAAAAGAGGAGCACAGGAAGGCACATCAACACAGCAGGAGGCACAGCTGGATGGCAGCGATACATGCGGTACGGCCCAAACCTCAACAATCACGCACGGTGGCAGCACACACCCATCCACAAAAAACAAAAAAAAAGGAAAACAACACGGCGGCAGGGTGTGGCTGTGTGTGTGTGTGGCGCTGCGGGTGTCTGCCCGCCGTGGCCGCAAAAAAACAAAACAAGAGGGAAAGAAATGTGTGCTCCGCCCCACAGGCCCTCGTCGCACGCCCACACGTCACGGCTCCCTCAGCGCGCCGTTCGTCGCGGCCCCTCCTCATGCGTGCAGCAGGCGAGGCGCACAGGGCCGTCTTCGTGAGCGTGTCGGTGGGTGTGCGAGTGGAGCAGTTGGGCGGAAACACACGGCACCCCTCACAGGAAGAGTGCAGAAGAAACAATTAAGAAGAGAGAAGAGTAGAAAAGAAATGAAACGTCCACAGTGATTGCCCCCAAAAGCAAAAAAGTGAAGAGATGGGGGAGTAAAAGAAGACAAAAGAAAAAGAAAAAATTAAAGAAAATAAACCATTAAAAAATGAAAAAAACTCACAACGCCCCGAAGGAAGTAAAAAACAAGAAAAACATAAAGAAACAACTAAAAAAAAAACATCCGAGAAAAAAGAAGAAAGTAAAAAAAAAGTAAACACACACAAAACAAAATTCAAGGAGCTGCGACGAATGACTCCAGTGTGCATGCACCAGCACACACAAAAATGCGTCCGCGCAAACAGTTGTAGGCGTGTCGTGCATATGAGTGTGTCTGGGATGCGTGCCAAGTGACGGATACAGGGGTCAACAACATGGAGCACAAAGCAGCGCAGCTGAAGCAAATGAAGCAAAACACACAATCATTATTTTCTCTTACTTATTACGCAATAAAACAAAAGAAGCGCACAAATCCCCGTCGTTGAGTGCTGGCAATTATAGTCCGCATTCACTTCTTCAGCCCAGTGTCCCGTAGGTGAGTGCAGCCAGAACAAGCGGTGGCAGGGCATGCAGATGGGTGTCATGGAAGCAGGCGTCAGTTCCCACACTTTTCTCCAGCGCGTTCGTTGTGGGCGCAGAGGAAAGGGGAGCCGGCATGCTTGCCGCCATATTATTTCCTTCGCCGGAAGCAGTCTCGGTGGTGTTGGCGGCGGTGTCCTCTTCGGCGCCTTCCGCTGCACCCCCGTCCTCGCCGGTCTGGGACAACTGAGTCGGTGGCGCAGCAGCAGTCTCTTCCCGCAGCTCCACTGGAGGGTCATGGGAGGAGTGGTCGCTGCCTTCTGTGGGCTTTGGATCTGGTGGGGATTCGGATGCAGCAGAAGCAGCAGAAGTAGAATGTGCAGCGCCTTGAGGATCACCAGCGGGAGCGGAATCCGGTGCTCGCGAGGCCTCGGCAGAAGAATCCGTCGTGGCCGCAGCGCCAGCAGCAGAGTTAGCACCAGCGCCGCCTGGAGTTGCAGGTAGAGAAGAAGGAGGGACATCCGTGGAATTCTCAACGACAGCAGGAGAAGATTTTGAATTTGTTGTGGAGGCGTCACGAGAAGCCTCCTCTTGTCGAGCCGCCGGAGTGCCTGCTCCCGGACGTGTGGCCGGAACACTTTCACCAGCGCCACCCGGAGCTCCAGCCAGTGAAGGGGCACCAGCGGAATTCGCAGCGTCAGCAGTAGGAGATTCTGAATCCGGTGTGGAAGATGTTTCACGAGAAATCTTGTCTTCTGGAGGGCCCGGAGGTCCCTCCGGAGGTTTGGCTGCACCAATTGCAACGGTGACCGCCTTCGGCTCAACGTTACGCTCCCACCAACTCTTCAGGATGTCTGGAGTAAACGTGGAGACGTTGATCGTGATGACAGCATCCTTCACACCATCTATGGTGCGACTCTGTGAAGCCTCGGGCTTACAGTTTCCGACGCCCATGCCGCAAATCATCTGCCCAAAACCAGCAGCTGCAGTCGTGCAGTTGTACCACAATGACGTCCCACGGAGTTGCCAGCGCGCAAGTTTGTCCTTACCCGCACACACTGCATTCACCTGCGTTACCTGCGGCTCCTCCTCCTCCACGGCAAACACGCACGAGCAGCAGCACAGCAGTGCCAGCACCAACACGACACAAAACACACGGCACATCATCTTCAAAACTTTCGTTGTTGAATAACGTGGATTCGATCTGCAAGAGCATGAGAAAGGAATTAGAGAGAGACAGCAGCTACACCACGCACAGCCACCGCATGGTAATAAATGGCAGCAGCCAGAAGAAGCGCACACCAAAAAAGAGACAGATGGAATCATTACAACCGCAAAACTCGCACACCGACCCGCAAACCAGAACTTAAAAAAGCGGAAAAAACAAAAAAAGAAAAAAAAATGATAGGAGTCCATCAGAACTTCCAAAACTTTTAAAAAAATCAATCGGGCAGCAATTCTATTTAATGTGCCAAGCAGCACAAGACAAGCGTGTGTGTCTGTATAAATAATGCCTTCACCAAGAAAAAAAGGCAAATAAAAACGATCGTCTTGTTCCACCAGCCCACACAACATTCCTTCACATTTCATTGCGGCATCCGGCCTGTTCCTCCAATCCTCCTTTCGTGCAGTCCGTGGGACGCACAGCAATGAGGCCGGCACCGCGTGAGGGCAACAAAAACAAAACAAGTAGAGGGAGAAACACGTCACACATGACAGTGTGCAGCAACCGACCATTGAATAAAGGAACAGCAAGGATACGTATCATTCCAGGAAAACAACAAAACAAACAAAAGTAAAACGTAAATAATAAAAGAAAACACGCATGCAACGCGGCACATGTTCTCCGTGAGGAGTCGCAATTTCACACTCTTTGGCTCAGAAGACCGCCACAACCCCCCACAATCCCAGAAGAAGCAGCAACACCCAATACACGCACACACGCACAGTGCCGTCAACAGTTAACTCACGCAGTGTCAATTTCGCGTCGTTGAGCAGGGCAGAGCAGTCGTTGCGACTCACACCGCTCCCGGAATACTGCGCGGTGAATTCTCGTAATTGGGGTTTTCGTGTCCAGAGGCATTGCGTTGAGTCAATCCGCCCGCATCACCCTCAGCAACAAATCTACTGCCTGCAACGCCATTTTCTAAAATGAGAGATTTTTGTCCGGTGGCGTTGTGCTCACTCACCTCGTCCGTGTTATCCGCAGCAACGTGTTCCCTGCCGCCATAAGTGACAGACATGATCTCGGATGCATTCAGCGCCACTAATATTCTCGGACCGTTGGCGAAGGAAGGCCTCTTCTTGGATGCATTCGGGACCATCACTTCGCTCGGATTGCTGGCAAACTCAGGCCTCGTCTCGGACATGTTGGTCGCCGTGTTGGATGCGGGACTCCGATCGACGGTGTTGGGTCCGTCAGCCGCCGCAGACTGTCGCCAATCCTCGTTTTGACGTGACGGCTCAGCATTAACTTGCGGCGCAGTTGTCCCACCAGATTTTGTGTCATCCTTCCCTTCACGGGGTGGCGGCAACTGACAGATGACCGTCTGGTCAGCATCGCTGCTCCGTGCAGGCGGATGGATGGTTCCATCGGGAAAATTGACGCCACCACAATTCATAAGGGCCGGCGTGTTTATGTGTCGCCACATTCATCGTGAAGGCAACGGTGGCCCCTTCCTCTTTCGTTGCACGGCTGGCAGCACAGTTGCTACATGTGTGCACCGCATTGGCCACATGGCACACAGCACCCAGCTCACCATTCCTGCCATGCATGCGCACACCAAAGCCACTGAAAGTATAATTCTCATGCTGAGCCTCAGCAATGGCAGCAGAACACTTCTTCCACACGCACACACACACACACACGCACGCGATAGCTCAGGCCGCCCAACTCAACGCAATCACAGGCGGTGCGTCACACCCGCAGGAAAGGAGACTCGGGCTGCGCACTCCCTCTATCCTCCTTATCTTCATGCCACGGAAGAAGAGAACAGGCGCCACCCGCAACCGCCAGCACACGCTACAAAAGAAGCATCAAAATCAAATGAAATGTGCATTTTGTGCGTGCATGTGGTTGTGTGTGCCTGCAGACACACGAGGCAAAGAAGTAAAAACAGGAGCGGAGCATGTGAGGGGACGCACAAACAAAACTGTACAGCAGAGGTGCATGGCAGAAATAAAGAGAAAAAGACTGCTCAGGCTCACGATATTGCACTGCAGACAAAGCAGCGGCAATTCATTAAAAATTAAATAAAAATAAATAATAAAAAATTCATCTTCACCTTTCCACACCTCACACTTTAAAAAGAAAAGAAAAAAAGAAAAAAAAAATTTAAAAAAAGTCGTCCTCTATTACGGCTACACCCAAATAATAAAAAAAGAAAAAGAAACAACACACACACAAAAAGCACCTAACCACCGTGCTGCTCCAGAAATTGTCTGCATATATTTTGTCCGAAAATAAAATTAAAAGATATTTAAATGTCTTTCAACCGTCCGACCCTCTGTGTGTCCGCACATCGTTTATATTTCATGGGGCCATCTGCGTGTTGCCGCTCCCCTCAGCCCTCTCATCGGCGTGTGAGTGCGGCCTGCAGAGCACAGTCACTCGTGTGTGTGGGGACTGAGAGAAGCACGCAGACATGACGGGAGTCGCGTCACTCCATCGGGAGAGTGAGCGCAGCAAAAGAAAAAAAAACATCAGAGGGGAAAGAAATGCTCACGAGGCCGACACCGAAGGGACTGTCGGCGCAAGAAATGCACACGCAAAGCAAAAAAACTTAAAAACACGGCGGCAGGGTGTGGCGGTGTGTGTGTGGCGCTGCGGGTGTCTGCCCGCCCTGGCCGCAATAAAACAAAACAAGAGGGAAAGAAATGTGTGCTCTGCCCCACAGGCCCTCGTCGCACGCCCACACGTCACGGCTCCCTCAGCGCGCCGTTCGTCGCGGCCCCTCCTCATGCGTGCAGCAGGCGAGGCGCACAGGGCCGTCGTCATGAGCGTGTCGGTGGGTGTGCGAGTGGAGCAGTTGGGCGGGAAACACACAGCACCCCTCACAGGAAGAGTGCAGAAGAAACAATTAAAAGAGGGAAGAGTAGAAAAGAAAAAAACTTCCATAGTAATTGCCCCCAAAAGCAAAAAAGAGGAATGGGGGAATGAGAAATAAAAAAAACATGCACAAAAAATTAAAAAAAAAATGAAAATTTTCCTTTACGGAGAGTAATCCACTACCAGAAGTGTGTGCGTCGGTGGTGGGGAAGGGCTGAGGTGTTCCACGCAGAGGCCACACACACCTCAAGAAGCGGCAATCCCCCACAATCCAAGCAGAAGGAGCAGCAGCAGCAGTCCGCCTCCGCAAACAGTGCTCCCATCACCATGTGCCCCGCCGTCACGAGCGGTACCGACACCCGTTGCTCCTGCCGCCACTGTTTTCAGACCTGTCAGCTTTGGAATAGAAATTTTGTTTGCGTTGAGGACGCGGATCTCATTGTCATCCAACGGGCGGTTGTAAAGCAGGACATTCGTCGCGGTCACAGGCACGTCTTCTTTGCTCCCTGCGCTGCCTCCATCCCCTCCAATGTAGAAGTGGGAGATTCCTTTCGAATCCGTGTTTTTCAATTCACATGACGCATCTCCCACGCGCTGACCATCGACGTACGCGGAGCCCTGTTTTCCGTTCCGTAGCACAATGGCCACTTGGTGTGTTGTCCCTGGCTCCCAATTACTGCGGAGTTCCTTGGTCGTTTTGCCACCGCACAGCACCTGCCACTTCCCCTCTTTGTCGTACGACAGTCCCAGGAGCACTGTATTCTTACCGTCATTCATCGTCGCACCCATCAATGCAATGGGGGTATCTCCCTTCGGCTCACCGTGGACGGACACCGTCGCCACAAGAGTGAAGTTGTGGTTCGCAAAGTGGTACAGCTGATTCTCCCCCTGCCTGCCAACGGGCCACTCCGCCCACGCTCCCTGGAACTTCACGCCGTTATCCGCCTTTGCAGCCCCTGTTGCCACCCCATTCGTTCCTTTCTTTACTGTGGCGTCCACCCCGAGGTACTCGTCCCTCCATGTGTTACCAGAGAAATTGCCGGACAAAAAGCCAACCAGCCCATCCGTGATCTTAACAGCGCTGCACGCATTGCCAGTTGAGGGATTCTTCGCAGGACTTTTAGAGGGGCACAGCTTGGAGACACGTTCGTCCACCTTCTTCCATGTCGCCAGCACCTCCCTCACCCGCTTCAGCTGCGCAGTCAGACGCACTGAGACCATACCGAGTGATGATTCCCCACCGCCTTTCTTCTTCTCGTACAGTGCAATCAACTCCTCCTTCCCATTATTTCCACTTCCAGCACTTTTGTACAGCAGGGAGCTGGCGGCAGCGTCACCATCACCGGATACCGGCCCAATATCAACAATGTGCGTGTTGTCCGTCAGCCAAAGATGAAGTACGCCTTTTTCTCCATTCTCGGAATGTACCGGCAGAGTAACGAGAATCACATTCCTCTTATCATCGACACTGTCAAGACTCGCTGTGATGAACCCGCTTCTAACGCCCTTCACATTTCCCCTGTGTTTGTTGCCCCACACGCGCGAGAGTGTCCCGAGGGCCTCCGTCCACGAATCCCCCTTGTCACCGGACTCGTACACCCTGCGGCGGCCATCATCACACGCAGTCATCATCATGAGTTTTCCGTCCTTCCGCTCCACGACGGAGGGATCACTGCAGCCATCGGCAGACATCCCCTTCGACATCTTCCCACTCGCAGTGTCTGAGGGGTATAGGATCAGCGAAACGGTCTTCCCATTATTCTTCGTGCCTTCCACGGGAAACACAATCGTACCGTCCTTCATCTGAACACCCGATCCACCACTGCCAATCAGCCGTGTCAAGGATTCGTGTCGTTTTTCAGAATCAGTCCACGGGATAACGGAAGCGTCGTTCCAATAAATTTTTTTTTTACCGCTGCTCCCATCATTACTGACGTTTCCCACAGCCACCAAAAGTCCCCATTTAGCTGCTGCAGCTGTGCTACGAGTAGCTGCCTTATCAGTAACTTCAAAACTGTAGGTTCCAGCGAAAATGTAAATATCACTTCCCCGCACGACTGTTGTTGGCCGGCTCACACGTACTTTTGTCCGGCTTTGGGAAGCCTCCTGATCTCCTGTTTGGGAGGCACAACCCTTATTTCCGGCAGGACATTCCTCCAGTACTTGTGTCTTCAGTTTAGTTGTATCCAATTCTCTTGATTCTTTATCGGTCCACTCCAGGAGCTCCGAGGCAATCCCAGTAAAATTGCTTCCTCCCTCCTTCAACTGCGCCTCGGCAACGGCAAACACGCCACCATCCATCTCAACAAGAACTGGAACATGGAGCGAATCCACTGTTTCTCCTTCTTTCTTATCTCTCCAGGCAAAAGATGGACTCGGTGAAGATTCCTGACCTGACGATGGTTCACCAGCTTGCGCAGCACCACCACTGCCGCAGCACATCATCACGAAGAGAAGGAGCAGCACCGCGGAAGTAAACACACGCCGGGACATGTTGGGCCTCTGCGGCTCACTCTCTCCTCCTTCCCTCCTCCTTCCGCTGGATCCGGTCACGCCGCGACGGTTGTGTGTGCGGGGTGCCTTCACTGCAGCAACACGTGAGAGCATATAAATATGTGTGGGCGGTGTGTGTGCTGTTGGTCCTTTCAGTGCCTTCGAATTTCACAGTAGCGTTTAGTGCTTGTTTTCCTTCTTCGTGTGTAATTGAGAAAGAAAAATATAAAGGGAAAAAATACCAATACAAAAAGTACAACAGTAACAATCGCCATCCGCAGTGAGTGGCACCATCATCCCCGCCGCAGTCACTCCCAACAACAACAACCCACGCACACAGACACACGGAACGACACGGAAGAACAGTGCACCGGGAACACACAGCGACTGCCACCACCAGCAGCAGCAGGAGCCACGGCGGGTGAGTCGTTATTCGTCACGCGTCAGCAGACACCAAGCGACACCCACACACAAAGCAACAACAGGCGGGATGCAAAGCAGCAAAACCGCCCTTTGCAGCAATAAAGCGCTGCCGCCAGTCCTTTTACTGTTGCCGCTCCCCGCACACGCTCCTCAACCGCCATAGCCGCACATCAACCCGCACAGGCGAAGAATCCCCGTCGGCAAATTTACAGCAAGAGAGCCACTTCGGCACGTGCAGCGGATGGCGGGAAGCAATCCGCACTCGCCCAAGGCACCCTCAACACCACTCACTGGATGCGCGCCGCCAACATCACACCCGCAACACGTCGAAAAGACATACCGCAGTCTCCCGATCTCCCTCCTCGCGAGGGCCGCCGCAGCCAGACCTTGTGCATGTGTGCGCCGTAGCATGTCTGTGTGGGCTTGTGTGTTTTTCAGCGCCTATACTTGCAAAGCAGCCGTCCGACACAAAAGAGTCCAAAGAAAAGCAACGGCAGAGAGAGGCAGATAGCACACACGCAAACTACTCATATCATTACACACACACGCAGCCCGCACAATGGGTGCTCTCAACCACAACACAACTAAAGCAATGAAAGAAACAAGAAGCCGAAGCGTGGGACGACCAGCGCACACACTCTCATTGCTCCCGTAAAGCAAAACACACACACAGGGAGAGAGAGAGAGGTCGCCCACTCAATGCAATGGAAACAAAAAAAAACAGTTACGGTGCTCCGCCCATGCAGCCAGGCAGGACGGCAGCGGTGCGTGTGGTGCAAAAGAGAGCACCAACGGGCCTGCATGGGTGTGCATGCATATATACAATGGGCACATTATGTGTGTGCTTCGTGGGATGAGGTGAGGGCGAGAGTCCATGCAAGGGGACACACACAGAGAGAGAGAAGGACGAGTGTGTGTGCGGGCGGTGCACGGCTCTCTCTCCCTCATACTCTCACGCGGCCACCACCGCAGCAGCAGCCGCACACGCAACAAAAAGAAGAAGCAAAAGAGTGGAGGTGGTGTGGGAGACCGCGGTGCTGCCGTCACTGTCGCCAAGCTTTTCATTATCGCCAGTTTGGCGTTTTTCTGTCGCGGCAGCATCCGGAGTTTGAGCATCCTCGGTTGTCTTCGTCCCTGTGGAGTGTTCCTCCTCAAAAGGAGAAGTTTCTTCGCTTGTAGATGGCTCAGCTTCTTGTTCTTGAGTGCCAGTTGATGTACTCTGCGCCGCACCTTCCGTAGAGGCAGGATATTCCTTATTTTCCTTTTGTAGTTCGGGTAGGTTCGTGGATTTATCCGTGCTTTGGCTTTGATTTGTCTTTTGTTCCGGAGTTAACTCTTCATTTTGGGTTTTGTGCTCCGGCGGTACTGTTTTTGGCACTGTCGTTTGGACCGGTTCACTGCTTTCTGATTCTTTACCTGGACCCTTTAATGAGTCTCCTTTCCCGAGGGCCCTTGAATCCTCGTTTCCAATATTTTCTACTCCCAATGAGGACTGACCTGCTCCACCCGCATTGTTCTCGCCAACACCTTCACCCTCTTCTAAAGCAGGAGTGTGTGGCTGCGGCTGCAGTTGCGTTTGTGACTGCGGTTGCTGTGGTATATTTACTTGCGCTTGTGGCGGTTGCCTTAATTCCTGTTCTTTATTTTGTAATTGCGTCTTTGTTTTTTCGTTTCCTTGATCATCTTTCAATGGTTCTTCTAAATGGTCTGAAGGGTTCTTTTTTTTTTCATCCTCCATTCCAGGAGCAACATCCTGTTGTTCAGCATTAACTTCGTTTACTTCCAAAGATTTTCCTGTAGATGTTTCTGTTGATTGATTAGCCTTAGGCACATCTTTTGGTGGATCCGAGGCGTCTGGTCCTGGCGCTGAAGTTTCAGTCGACCCCACAGCACCTTTACCACCACTCCCTCCCCCAGCACCACCGGCAGGACCTCCTGCCTCCTCGTCACATCTACCGCCGTCACCGCACCACAGCACGCAGAGGGCACACACCAGCAGCACACGGCCAGCCATCATCATCGCCATCACTCCTGTCACTTGCGTGTAGCCTTCAGCACAAACTAACTCCCCGTCAAAAAAAGCAAAGACACGGCCGTTACACTACACACGGCCACCGTACAGCAACAAGTGCACACACCATGAGGCAGTTGTAATCAGTACAATTGCAGAACTCACACACCGCCCTGCAAACGAGAAGCGGGAAAGCAAAAAAAGAACAGCAACATAGTTGAGGGTCCGGCATGACTCCAAAATATATATATATATATATATATATATATATATATATATCAGGCACGACTTTTATTTTATGTGCCAAGCAGCACAATGTAAACAACCACTGGTTTGTGTATACGTAATGCATGAACTGAATAAATCAAAAAAAGTTCGTACTGTTCTACCAGCCCACACAACTCCCCTCACATTTTATGCGACATCCGGCCTGTTCCTCCACTCCTCCTTTCGTGCAGTCCGTGGGACGCACAGCAGTGAGGCCGGCACCGCGTGTGGGCAAAAGAAGGAAACAAAAGAGGGAGAAGCATGTCACTCATGACAGTGTGCAGCAACCGATCATTAAATGAAAACACAGGGATGCTGATTATTCTCATAGGGCAAAAGCAGCAAAAATAAATAAATAAAAGAAAATAAAAAAACTTAGGTTATTGACAAAACTCAGTGGGTAATGCTGGCAAGCTGCACAGTTATTGTTCCACGAAAGGCCGCAGTTCCACCCTCCCTCACACTTCAGCAGAGTGCCACGGTGCCCCACAGCCCCAGAATCAGAAGCAACAACACCCGAGACACACACCCATGCACGGTGATGTCACCAATTTCAGCCATGGCCAACAAATCCGTGAAATGCCCGTGCTCACAAAAACCGTTGCTCACAAGTGATGCTGCGTTGTGCTCCGATGGGATCTCTGGTTTCCCAGACGTTGTGCGCAAATAATCCTGTGCGGCATCACCGCCACCCGACACGTTATCACTCGTTCAGCATTTGCTAGGGCTGTGCTGGGCTCAGGCGTAACTGTTGTACCATCCAGAGGCATTAGATCACTGTTGCTGAGTGAATCGGGGTCGCTGTCCATGCCCACGGCAGTGCGGGCATACGTGTCCTATTCATGGTCAACGTGTTGTTAGTCGCTGGTAACTGTGTTGGCGGTGGACGGCTTGTCGTCTCTCGCTGAGCGTGCGTCTGGATCCGCCGCGCTGCCACTTTACTCCCCGGACGGCCGAGCTCCCTGTGAGGCCTCACCGCGCAGCTGCCGGCAGCCTTGCATGCTCCTGCCGAGCGGAGTGTCCTGCCACTCAGCATGGCCTCAGACAGTTCCCAGTCCCCCGCCTGGCAGCAGCATCCCAATCGCCCACACGAGTTCCTGCCGCCACAGACTCCCTCTCGGCGATGGAGGCGCTCCGCCTTGGCTCGCTGGCGGTGTGCGGCGACGTCACCGAGGAGAGTTGCAGCGTGCCGCTTTTACTGGCGGATCGAGATCACGCAGTTGGCTCCACATGTTCACCATGACACTGCGGAATCCCACGCAACGTGACAGCGGACGCTGACGCCATCATGGCATGATCCCTCCCGCAGGGCTGCGTCAATGCCTGGCACGTGGACTTCCTCACTGCAGTGAAGCGGCGGAATCGGAGGGAAGTGCGGGAGGAAAAGGAAGGCGCGCACACCGCATGACAGACGGTTGTCGGTGTGGCGAGGACTCTATTCCTGGTGTCGACCCGGACATCGTTCCTCGAGCGACGGCACGGCGCAGATGCGACACCCGCCCACTCTTCGACAGGCCCGCACGCGCCCTGCGGATCACAAGTAACTCCCTGTGTCGGTGGTGCCGTCCCTTTCTTCACCAAGGTGAGCGGCCCGCCTCCGCCGGAACCTCTTACAGACGAAAACTCCGCAATTTCTTTCCGACCAGCGAGCGGCGGATTGACGTTCTCCCGCCCAATCTGCGGCCAAGCGTGTTCGTCCGTCCACAATATGACGGCACATGCCGGACGTACTCAGCCTGGAGTTCCGATGGTGGGAGAGGCCTCACATGCGGATGCCGCGATTGTTCCACCGTCTTCTTAACAGGCGCCTCGCGCGCAGGTTGCCACCGAAGTCGCCAAGCATGCCAGCGGTCAAGGCACGCAGGAAGCACAAACGCGGGAACTCGAGATGGACCAGGCTCTTCCGCCACTGCCTCATCACAGACGCCGAGTGCTGCTGATCCCCGACGGATCACGGGACACTCCGCTTCATCCACTGTGGTAATGCCCCGTCGTTTGGAGTAGTCCCTGCGAATGTTTGGGACTGCTCCAGCCTGCACGACGGACTGTTTGCGACGGAATAATTGACACTTTATTGCGGACGGCCCTTGCGCTACTCACTCGTTATTGTAACAGTATCTAACAACAGCAAAATGACAAGCTGCTTTGTGATGAATATTGGCTGCACTTCCCGTGGACCAACAATTCACGTGTTGTGCGGGGATCTCTTCAGTTTAATTGTTACTTTGCTTTTTTGTTGCTGTGTGCGCTGCACCTCCTCTTGTGTGTGTGCGTACACTCCGTGAGGGGTGCCGACACGACGGACCGCTCTCGCCGTATGTGCATGCGGTGGAGCCTTGTGTGCCGCTCCTGTTTGCTTCTCCCTCTTCCACCTGTGTGTTGGTGTTGCGGCAGGGCTGTGTGTGTGTGTGTGCCTGCTGCCGTGGATTGGAGTGTGTGTCGTGCGTGGTGTGCGGCGTACGGTGCATGCCTGGCTGCTGCCCTCTCCTCATGTGGTGTGCTCTCTGTGTGTGTGTCTGCCGCACCTCTCGTCTCCCCTGTTGCTCTTCATGTCCCTCACTGTGCAGATCAGCTCCACACCACTGAACGACCACACTCACGATGACGACGTGCCGTCTGCTGTGCGCCCTGCTGGTGCTCGCCCTGTGCTGTTGCCCATCCGTTTGCGTGGCAATCTTTGAGAAGGCTCCAATTCCCGAAGGTCAAGTTGATGGTAAAGGCTCCGGTCAATTGTCCCATGCACCTGGAGCAGCACCAGCCACGACGGTCGGTTCGCCAGTTCCGGGGCCGGTTGCTGAACGGGGAAGCGAAGCCGGACATGGTGGAGTCGCGACCGATACAGAACTGCAACCAAATGCTGCTCCCAATAATTTACAAGGAGAAGGTACGGATGATAATAAAAAGAAAGAAATTGGCACGAGTTCGTCCGCAGAACAAAGAAATAAGAGTGAAGAAGATTCCGCCCAGAAGACCACGACGACCACAACTACGCAGGCACCAACCACGACCACAACGACCACCACAACGACGACCACGACTACAGAGGCGCCAACCACGACGAGCACCCGCGCACCGTCACGTCTGCGCGAAATCGACGGCAGCCTCAGCAGCTCTGCGTGGGTGTGTGCCTCGCTGCTGCTCGCCGTATCCGCGCTGGCGTACACCACTGTGGGCTGAAGAGGTGTGTATGCGGGCTGTGCGTGCCAGCACTCAACCGCGGGGATTTGTGTACGTCCACTGTGGTCCGATGTAAATAAATAGGGGAAAATAATGATTGTGTTTTGCTTCATTTGCTTCAGCTGTCCTGCTTTGTGCTCCATCTTGTTGCTGCCTGTATCCGTCACGTTGAACGCATCGCAGACATACTTATATGCACGACACGCATACAAATTTTTACGTGGACGCATGTTTGCATGTGGATGCATTCACAATGAAGCCATACTGTGCAGCGGCTTTTATTAAAGTTTTTTGTTGCTTTTTACTTGTGTTTTTAACTGTTTTGTTTTTCTTCTTTTCTTGCTGATTAATTACTGAATGACTGTGTATGTGCCTTTTTTGCCCTTTCACTGATTCCAACTGCCTCATGGTGTGTTTGTTGCTGCTTATGGGCTGCTATTATTTGTGACTGTGCGGTGGCTGTGCGTGGTGTAGTGGTCGTGTCTTTCTTTTTTTGCTCTCACTCCGCGTTGACGGGGAGTTAGTTTGTGCTGAAGGCTGCACGCAAGTGACAGGAGTGATGGCGATGATGATGACTGGCCGTGTGCTGCTGGTGTGTGCCCTCTGCGTGCTGTGGTGCGGTGCCGGCGGTAGATGTGATGAAGGGGAGGCGGCAGTTCATGGTGTTCCACCCGATGTTCCTGCGAGTGGTACTGAAGATGGGCTGGGAGGGACAAGAAATGCGGCGCCAGCACCAGAGTCACAAATACAATCGTCAGGAGAGGAGCAACAACACAAATCTCGGGAAGGACGTCCCGCACTCCCAGAAGGATCTTCCGAAGAAGAAGAAGAAGAGGAAGAAGAAACGGTAGAAGATGAAAATTTGGATGAAGTAACGGAACGTGGTGAAGAAGGACGACACGAAGATGGACAAAATGCAAATGAGCGGGATGGAAGTCAGACAAGCGAAGTTTTCACAAAACAGGAGGAAACCCCACCACCATCAACACCAGCAGCTCCAGCAGAGGAAGGAAACCAAAACGCATCACCACAAGCACCATCTGTTGACAGTCATGGTGGTGGCGGGACTGATAGAATTGAAGGTTCCATCTTGAAGGCTCCTTCTTCTGGGGTTGCTCTACAGCACGCCGGCGATGCGTCTACCAATCAGAAGAATAAATCTTTGGAAACGGGCAAGCATGCAGAAAACACAATAACTGGAGGTCCCGTCCCGTCCCAGGTGAAGGCACCGAAGGAGTCAATAAACGATGCAGAAAACCATTCCGTCACTGGAGAAGATACGGCATCCAACCAAGTTGTTAGTAGAGGTACAACTGAATACGAGGCACAGCAGAGAGCCTTGGCGACGCAAGACCGTTCAAGCGTGTCATTCCCCGACAGCGAAAAAAAATGGCACACAACGCCACAAGAAACGCCAACGACACAAGTACCGCCATCAGCAACAGAACCATCGTCAAGAGGAGGGCAACTACCAACAGCAACAACAGACTCACAGACACCAAATGCTCAAGAGCATAAAAAGTTACTGTTACCAAAAAAAAAAACAGAGTACAATGCACCGGAACATCCTTCAGGGGATACTGTGGCAGAGCAACAAGGTCAAGCCACAGCCACAGAGAATTTGACGGAGAATGCACCTGCCACCAATCAAGCAGAAACAACAGCATCACCCAACTCTACAAGTGGCGGTGGTGAAGCCCGGAGTACGGCGGATGAGAATACTGCCAATGCTCAACGGCCTAACCCCAAAGAACCACACGAAGATCTTGAAGGTATTGGTACCCACCCAGTTCCCACAGCCAGTGAGGCAGCACCTCAAACAGCAGGAACAGCTACCACCGCCAACACAACTGATACGGCGGCGCCTGGCGACAGTGACGGCAGCACCGCGGTCTCCCACACCACCTCCCCTCTTTTGCTTCTTCTTGTTGCGTGTGCGGCTGCTGCTGCGGTGGTGGCCGCGTGAGAGTGAGGGAGAGAGAGCCGTGCACCGCCCGCACACACACTCGTCCTTCTCTCTCTCTGTGTGTGTCCCCTTGCATGGACTCTCGCCCTCACCTCATCCCACGAAGCACACACATAATGTGCCCATTGTATATATGCACGCACACCCATGCAGTCCCGTTTGTGCTCTCTTTTGCACCACACGCACCGCTGCCGTCCTGCCTGGCTGCATGGGCGGAGCACCGTAACTGTTTTTTTGTTTCCATTGCATTGAGTGGGCGACCTCTCTCTCTCTCTCCCTGTGTGTGTGTTTTGCTTTACGGGAGCAATGAGAGAATATGTGCGCTGGTCGTCCCACGCTTTGGCTTTTTTTTTTGTCTATTTTATTTTTTTTACTTGTGTTGTGACTGAGTGCACCCATTCCAGTTTTTTTTTTTTTAATTATTGGTGGATTGCTTTGACTGTGGACGCCTAATTTCTCTTTTTTGTATTCTTATCTTTTTCCTTTCTTGTTAAGAGAGTGCCAGTCTCTTTTATCCTTGTCACGCTACCAAGTTTTTTTGACATACGCCATGCGTCAGTTGATCCGCTTTACTCTGCTGCCTGCATCGCTGCTGGTGCTGCTATTGATGATGCCTGCGATGTGATTTGTCGGCGGATGTCTTGCTGTCAGTCTGACGTATCCTTTGCTCCTTGACGATTTGTTGCGTACCGACGGTGCGTGGGCGTCTCTGGTGATGGTGAGGGACGCGTGTCTCAGAGCGCAGGATGCGTCGCGGGTGTGCAGCGTCGTTTGGAAGGAACGATTGGTGACCATCCGCATCCAGGCGTCATCAACGGACTGTGAGGACAGCATAAGGCACTGCGGCTTCTTTTGGTGTTGCACAAAGAATTCATTGGACGGTGCGTTTGTTTTCAATCTTTTGCAGCTTTTGTGGGGAAGGTGGGAGGTTGAGGGAATCAGGACTGAATTCATTTGAGTGGCTGCGTTCCGTCGAGTTGCGGCCAGTCGTGGCACTCTTTTGGGTTTTGGCCGCTCGTCTCTTTTGTTTACTTCCCACCGCAGCACGTGGATAACACTGATCCGAGGAACATTTGTTTGACCGTGTGTGAGCTGCTGCCGTGCGTGGTGCATGGACTATGTGATTGTGTGGGGAGGTGCGTTGGAGTGACGAATACTTCTGTTTGGCGTGTCGCGGTGTGTCGGAATGATGTTCGGATGACATGTGGAGGGTGTTGTTTGTGATTTGTGTGTCTTGTCTGGTGGAGCCGAGATGTGTGCGGGGATTGTGGCATTGCTGGCTGACAGCTCCACGTCACTTTTCAGCATTCCCGGATGTGCTGAGGAATGACGGCTGGCGACCAGCGTGTTGGTGCTGCTGGTGGGAATGAGTGCATCGGGAATAGTCCGTTTTCTCTTTCCCATGCTGGAGCGGATGAACTGGCACGAGGGCACCAGCTGCAGGCTGCCTGCCAGCACGTGTGAGCAGCGGATCCATGCACGCACCGACGCTCATCGCAAGAGCGTGTGCGGTCACAGTGGCCTTTTGTGACGTGCTTTTGTGTACGTCAGCCCATCGAATAATGTGTGAAGCAAACGGCTGACTGCACACGAGGAAAATAAGTGCGTGCACTGTGCCGTGTTTCAGCGTCGATGGCAGAGCGACAGGAAGCCCGTGCTGGCAACTGAGATCTTTGCGTCGCGAGGGATGTCGGTGTTGATTTTGGAAAGTCAAGGGTGAAGTGATTTTGCTGCTGCCCGTGTGTGTGGCCACTCCGGCAGAGGGCGGACACAAAAGGGAGGGATGCAGGCGCTGCGTGTGTGTGTGTGTGCAGGTGCCATGCAACAACGTCACAACAAACATGCTGCGACTCGGTGACCCTCACATTGTAGTGGTCCTCACGAACAGCCGAGGCACGGCCCACACCGATGCACTCAGTGGACGGAGTGAGGCATCTTTTGAGGCGCCGCAGGGAACAGGATGTGTTGACGCAGCCACGACGTGCATGGAGTGTCACGATGGCACAGTCAGCTGTGGCTGGTGGAATATTTACTTCTCGGAGGCAACGGAGAGAGAGAGAGAGAGCTGCTCCTGCTGCTGGCGTCGTTGCTGCCTTTTGTGGCCTCCCATGCCGATTATTGTCTGTCCGCTGATCATGGGTGGCATGCCTCCACTAGTGGCGTCGTCTGCAGGCATTTCACAGCACCAGTGAAACACACATCACGTCGCATGCTTTGGCTGTGGATGTGGTGTCGTGAATGCAGCCGGCATTATTTTGCCCGACTCCTTTTCACTGCATTGCGACGAATAGATGCGTCCCCGCCCGAGTCATTCACTGCAGCTCCGTGTGTTGTACTGCCAGCACAAGACTCTCCTGTTGTCTGACGCCTGGCTGACAGTCAAACACCACTGCGTTGGGACATGCAGGGATGTGGACTGCCGCTCACGGTGTTGGGCACCGCTGTTTGGATGCGGCGGCCACACGAGCGGATGTATTGTGGCACAATCAAATGCGCGAAATACGCGGAATCGCAGCGGCTGCAATAATATCAGCGGTGTGGCACCACGGAATATGTGAGGGGGTGATGCATGATGAATCACAGTGGACGGCATGCGAGGGAAGTGCACCGCGACGGAGCGTCATCCCGCCCTCAGCCTGCAGGGGAATGTACACCCACAAAATATATGGACGAGACACCACCAAACACACATGCCCTTCCATGCACCAATAAATAGGAGCGAAGGTGCGTTCTGGTGTGTGGGAGTCCACTCACATATTTTCATTTCCACCGCAATAAACGGTGAGGAATCAGGTGCCACAGCAACGAAAGGAAAAACAAGCATTTATTGCAACACTTTACCAGCGAAGGGCAGGAACAACACAAACCGAATTATTGGCTGCACCCACACAAGAAACATTCACAAGAGGGAAAGAAAATAATTGTGCACCCTGCAGGAATCCCCAACACACGACCCAGGCATGAAGGTTTGCCCTCTGAGAAAACAAAAACAACGCATGCAGACATCTGCCAACATTCAAACAGAAACACAAATAAATGATTGCTTGCTTTATTCCATTCCTTGCGCTTATTTTTGGTTATGCGGCTGCTGCTGCAGTGGTTCCCAGGCCTGTATGAAGTGGTGTGCGCTGAATATGAACGAAGGCCAAAAGGCAACTGAATTGTTCTTGTGATGAATATTGACTGTAATTCCCGTGGACCAACAATCCACGTGGTGTGCGGGGATTTCCTTTTTAATTGTTACTTTGCTTTTGTGTTGCTGTGTGGGCTGCAACTCCTCTTTTGTTTGTGCGTACCCTCCGTGAGGGGTGCCGACACGACGGACCTCTCTCGCCGTATGTGCATGCGGTGAAGCCTTGTGTGCCGCTCCTGTTTGCTTCTCCCTCTTCCATCTGTGTGTTGGTGTTGCGGCAGGGCTGTGTGTGTGTGTGTGCCTGTTGCCGTGGATTGGAGTGTGTGTCGTGCGTGGTGTGCGGCGTACGGTGCATGCCTGGCTGCTGCCCTCTCCTCATGTGGTGTGCCCTCTGTGTGTGTCTGCCGCACCTCTCGTCTCCCCTGTTGCTCTCCATGTCCCTCACTGTGCAGATCAGCTCCACACCACTGAACGACCACACTCACGATGACGACGTGCCGTCTGCTGTGCGCCCTGTTGGTGCTCGCCCTGTGCTGCTGCCCGTCCGTGGCCGTAACAGAGAGTAGTCAGGTTCCAGTTAAGGACAGCCCCTCTCCTTCGCTTACTCAGCTACAGGGAACAGGTGTTTCAGGGGCAACAGATACTTCTACGACGTCAAGTTCAGCAGTTGCGGCCGCTGCGTCGCCGGGAAAAGGTGAAGGGTCCGATACGCAAGTGGTTCCAGGTGCGGAACAAGCTCCGCAAGAAAATCCAAGTGGGGTGACCGCTCCGGCAGGAGGTCCAGATCCAACAATTTCGGTGCCTATTACAAAAGAGGGGTCAGGTGGGTCCCCGGTAGTTCAGGGAGTCCAGATCCTGTGGCCGATACGGTACAGAAAAATGGTGAAAACGATGCGACAGAATCAAAAAGTGGCAATAATCCATCCACAGACCAAACAAATACGAATGCCGACGATTCGGCCGAGAAGACCACGGCGGCTACTATCACTACTACGACAACCACCACCACTACGACAGAGGCACCAACCACGACGACCACCCGCGCACCGTCACTTCTTCGCGAAATCGACGGCAGTCTCAGCAGCTCTGCGTGGGTGTGTGCCCCGCTGCTGCTTGCCGTATCCGCGCTGGCGTACACCACTCTGGGCTGAAGAGGCGTATGCGGGCTGTGCGTGCCAGCACTCAACCACAGGGATTTGTATACGTCCACTGTGGTCCGATGTAAATAAATAAGAGAAAATAATGATTGTGTTTTGCTTTATTTGCTTCAGCTGCGTTGCTGTGTGCTCCGTGTTGTTTTCCACTGTATCCGTCACGTTGAACGCATCCCAGGCACACTCGTATGTACTACACGCACACAACTGCTTGCATGGACGCATGTCCGTGTGTGAATGCATGCACACTGGGGCCATTCGGTGCAGCTTCCTTTTTTTTGTGTTTCTAGTTTTGTTTTTTTTTTTTTGCTTTTTTACTCGTGTTTTGTTTAATTTTTTTATTTAATTGTTTTGTTTTTATTGCTGATTAATTGCTGCGGGGCTGTTTTTGTGCGTTTTCCCTCCCACTGATTCCAACTGCCTCATGGTGTATGTGCTGCCGCTGCCGCTGCTGCCTTCATTTGTCACTGTGTGGTGTGAATTGTCTCTCCTTTTGCTTTCACTCTACGTTGACGGGGAGTTAGTTTGTGCTGAAGGCTGCACGCAAGTGACAGGAGTGATGGCGATGATGATGACTGGCCGTGTGCTGCTGGTGTGTGCCCTCTGCGTGCTGTGGTGCGGTGCCGGCGGTTTTTGGACACGCTGAGGGTTTGGCAGCTGTTGGTGGCAGCTCTGGTGGTGACAACAGTGCTGGAAGTGAAGGTGGCTCACGTGGAGGTCCTGAAGTAAATTCCCTTTTGGAGCCTCTTTCTGTTGTTGGAGGTCCCAAAGGAAATATGATGTCTTCGTTGGAAACTCCTCTCAATGTTGGCGGTATTCCTCCAAATTCTCTTTCTGAAGAGGGTGATTGTCTAAAGTCCCTTGGCGGTACGCTCAATTCTGAGGACGAGGTATCTTCAGATGTAAGTGGTCCGTCAGTACAAACAAAAACGCCTGGACAGTCCGATTCGCCCATCGTGAAGGCACCGGAGAAGTCAGATCCCGAAACAAAAACGCACATCTCTGATAAACAAGGAGAAGCAGGAAGTACAGAGGCTAATGAGGATGCAACAGAAAACGAGAAAAGGCAGAGTGAGGTGGTGAAGAGAGACACCTCCAGCGCCCTCCAATCACCGCCAACACCGCCAGTACCGGCGTACCCAGCAGAAGAAACCCCACTAGCACCAGCAGACTTACGGAATTCAGTAGAAGAGAAGCGAAACACACCGCCGTCAGAAACCAAAACGGATCTCGAGGCACCAGAACCGTCTCTAGAGGGTGCTGAGGCAGAGACGCACGGTGAAGGAACAACCACATCCGATTCGATGAAGGATGTAGCTAAAGGCCGTTCAGGAGATTCAACACCATCATCCATCTCTACAAGTGACAGCGTTGACGCCCAGAGGAAGGTGGAGGATGGGGATGACAATGAGATGGAAGCCCTCAATCCCAATGAAGCCTCTATTTTACCTTTGGTGAACAAAAATGGTCAAGGAAACGTGATTCCATCTTTTTCCGGTGAACAGCAGGAGCAAAAAGGACAGCCGTTGGGGAAAAGCGGTGCGGGCGGTGTACCCGCATCACCACTGTCCACTGTAACGAGTTCCCCAGCAGGCAAGGAGCCCGTAAAGCAGTTGGCGTCAGGAACATCTCCTGATGGGCATCAAAATGTGGATGGCGGTTCTACTGCTGATGGCTACCAAACGGTGAGCACAGGATATGGAGATAAACGCAGGAGGATGGACCACACAAAACTCCTACGGGAAACCTTGCCACAGCAGATGCAAATGGCCCTACAACTATGGGCGTGGGGCAAGATGGAAACGCAGTGAATACTGAAGTGGGTGCGAGCTCTGCTGAGGATGAGGAGACGGTGGCAGGAAAGAATGTGCAGGAGGAAGAGGTCCAGCCACAGAACAAGGACGAAAATGCTACGGCACTCAACAGCAGCCTCGGAAATGCGTCGCAGGGGAATAACAGCGATGCCGGCATCATGCGTGGGAGCGGACTGCTGCTGCTGCTGCTCCTTCTGCTTGGACTGTGGGGGTTTGCGGCTCTGTGAGGAGTGACTGGCTGCCGCGTGGGACAATTGCGCCCTCCCGAGCACAGAATTACTTCCCCATAAGAACAAATTTCTCTCCTAAAAAAGTCTTTTTGTTTTAATTTTTTTTGCTACATTTTTTTTAATTTGTGCGTTTTAAATCTCTAATCTTTTGCTCTACCATCCCTTCTCTTTTTTGCTTTCAGGGGCAATCACTGTGGACGTTTTTTCTTTTCTACTCTTCCCTCTTTTAATTGTTTCTTCTGCACTCTTCCTGTGAGGGGTGCCGTGTTTTTCCCGCCCAACTGCTCCACTCGCACACCCACCGACACGCTCATGACGACGACCCTGTGCGCCTCACCTGCTGCACGCATGAGGAGGGGCCGCGACGAACGGCGCGCTGAGGGAGCCGTGACGTGTGGGCGTGCGACGAGGGCCTGTGGGGCGGAGCACACATTTCTTTCCCTCTTGTTTTGTTTTCTTTGCGGCCATGGCGGGCAGAGACCCGCAGCGCCACACACACACACAGCCACACCCTGCCGCCGTGTTTTTAAGTTTTTTTGCTTTGCGTGTTTTGTGTGATGTTTCCGCCGGCAGTCCCTTCGGTGTCGGCCTTGTGAGCATTTCTTTTCCCCTCCGATGATTTTTTTCTTTTGCTGCGCTCACTCTCCCGATGGAGTGACGCGACTCCCGTCATGTCTGCGTGCTTCTCTCAGTCCTCACACACACGAGTGACTGTGCTCTGCGGGCCGCACTCACGCGCCGATGAGAGGGCTGAGGGGAGCACCAACACGCAGATGACCCATGAAATATAAACGATGTGCGGACACACAGAGGGTCAGACGGTTGAAAGACATTTAAATATCTTTTAATTTTATTTTCGGACAAAATATATGCAGACAATTTCTGGAGCAACGTGGTAGTTAGGTGCTTTTTGTGTGTGTGTTGTTTCGTTTTCTTTTTTTATTATTTGGGTGTAGCCGTAATAGAGGACGACTTCTTTTTTTTTTTTTTTCTCTTTTTTCCAAAGTGTGAGGTGTGGAAAGGTGAAGATGAATTTTTTATTATTTGTTTTTATTAAATTTTTAATGAATTGCCGCTGCTTGGGCTGCGGTGCAGTCATGAGTTTGAGCGGTCTTCTTGTTGTTGTTTCCGCCATGCACCTCCGCTGTACATTTTTTGCGTCCCTTTACATACTCTGCTCTCTTTTTTCTACTTTTATGCTTTGTGCTTCTGCAGGCACACACAACCACATGCACACACAAGATGCACATTGCAGTGGATTTGGATGCGTCTTTTGCAGTGCATGCTGGCAGTTGCGTGTGGCGGCTGTTGTCTTCTTCCGTGGCCATGAGGAGAAGGGAGGAGAGGGAGTGCGCAGCCCGAGTCTTCTTTCCTGCGGGTGTGGTGCACCGCGTGTGACTGCGTTGAGTTGGGCTTCGTGTCCCATTGAGGGCGGGATGGCTGGAAATTTCGGTGCCGCGTTATGGATGGATGACGGTTTGTTTGCTCCGTGTGGCTGGTGTGGTGGGTGCTCGCTCCGTGTGCGTTGTGTGGTGGCCGCGGGTTTTTGCCATTTCCCGTTGGCTGTGGGAATGGGCTGGGAGAATATGGTCGTGGATTTCTTCTCCTCCTGCATGGTGGGTGGCTGCTGGCGTTGTGTGCCTTTCTTGTGTGGATGTCGTCTCGTGGTGTGTGGACTGTGCGGCTGGGCCTGCTGCCTTCTCCTCATGTTGTCTGCTCTCTCTCTCGCTGTATCCACTGTGCTCCGTCCCTCTCCCTCTTGTTGCATTGTTTTCCTTCTGTCTCACCGATCAGCTGATTGGCTCCAGCGACTCCACTACGAGTGACGATGACTGCGATGGTGACGGTGCGGCGGCGTGTTGTTCCTTACACTCTCGTGCTGCTTGTCTGTGTGCGTGACGGCTGCTGGGAGTGCTGGAGATGTATCTGGTGATGTGGATGCGGTGGTTGTGCCGGTGGATGTGTCGTGAGCTCCGAGTGACGGCAGCCTGAGCTATCGCGTGCGTGCTTGTGTGTGTGTGCGTGGAAGAAGTGTTTTGCTGCCAGTGCTGAGGCTCAGCATGAGCATTATACTTTCAGCGGCTTTGGTGTGCGCATGCATGGCAGGAATGGTGAGCTGGGTGCTGTGTGCCATGTGGCCAATGCGGTGCACACATGTAGCAACTGTGCTGCCAGCTGTGCAACGAAAGAGGAAGGGGCCACCGTTGCTTTTACGATGAATGCGGCGACACATAAACACGCCGGCCCTTATGAATTGTGGTGGCGTCAAATTTCTCCCGATGGAACCATCCATCCGCCTGCACGGAGCAGCGATGCTGACCAGGCGGGCATCCGTCAGTTGCCGCCACCCCGTGAAGGGAAGGATGACACAAAATCTGGTGGGACAACTGCGCCGCAAGTTAATGCTGAGCCGTCACTTCAACACGAGGATTGGCGACAGTCTGCGGCGGCTGACGGACCCAACACCGTCGATCGGAGTCCCGCATCCAACACGGCGACCAACACGTCCGAGACGAGGCCTGAGTTTGCCAGCAATCCGAACGAAATGATGGTCCCGAAGGCATCCAAGAAGAGGCCTTCCTTCGCCAACGGTCCGAGAATATTAGTGGCGCTGAATGCATCCGAGATCATGTCTGTCACTTATGGCGGCAGGGAACACGTTGCTGCGGATAACACGGACGAGGTGAGTGAGCACAACGCCACCGGACACAAATCTCTCATTTTAGAAAATGGCGTTGCAGGCAGTGGATTTGTTGCTGAGGGTGATGCGGACGGATTGAGTCAACGCAATGCCTCTGGACACGAAAACCCCAATTACAAAAACTCACCGCGCAGTATTCCGGGAGCGGTGTGAGTCCCGACGACTGCTTTGCCCTGCTGTACGACGCGAAATTGACACTGCGGGAGTTAACTGTTGACGGCACTGTGCGTGTGTGCGTGTATTGTGACTTGCTGCTTCTTCTGGGATTGTGTGGATTTGTGGCTGTCTTCTGAGCCGAAGAGTGTGGAATTGCGACTCCTCACGGAGAACATGTGCCGCGTTGCATGCGTGTTTTCATTTATTATCTACATGTTACTTTGTTTGTTTTGTTGTTTTCCTGGAATGATAAGTATCCTTGCTGTTGCTTTATTCAATGGTCGGTTGCTGCACACTGTCATGAGTGACGTGTTTCTCCCTCTACTTGTTTTGTTTTTGTTGCCCACACGCGGTGCCGGCCTCATTGCTGTGCGTCCCACGGACTGCACGAAAGGAGGATTGGAGGAACAGGCCGGATGCCGCAATGAAATGTGAAGGAATGTTGTGTGGGCTGGTGGAACAAGACGATCGTTTTTATTTGCCTTTTTTTCTTGGTGAAGGCATTATGTATACACAAACACACACGGTTGTCTTGTGCTGCTTGGCATATGAAATAAGAGTGCTGCCCGATTGATTTTTTTTAAGTTTTGGGAGTTCTGATGGACTCCTATCACTTTTCTTTTTTTTGTTTTTTTCCGCCTTTTTTAAGTTCTGGTTTGCTGGTCGGTGTGCGAGTTCTGCGGTTGTAATGGTCCCATTTGTCTCTTTTTTGGTGTGCGCTTCTTCTGGCTGCTGCCATTTATTACCATGCGGTGGCTGTGCGTGGTGTAGCTGCTGTCTCTCTCTACTTTCTTTCTCATGCTCTTGCAGATCGAATCCACGTTATTCAACAACGAAAGTTTTGAAGATGATGTGCCGTGTGTTTTGTGTCGTGTTGGTGCTGGCACTGCTGTGCTGCTGCTCGTGCGTGTTTGCCGTGGAGGAGGAGGAGCCGCAGGTAACGCAGGTGGATGCAGTGTGTGCGGGTAAGGACAAACTCGGGCGCTGGCAACTCCGTGGGACGTCATTGTGGTACAACTGCACGACTGCAGCTGCTGGTTTTGGGCAGATGATTTGCGGCATGGGCGTCGGAAACTGTGAGCCCGAGGATGTTCAGAGACGTATAAAAGATGGTGCGAAGGATGGCGTCTTCACGATCAACGTCACATCGCCCAATCCAAGCGCGGTGAAGAGTTGGTGGCAACGTAACGTTGAGTCGAAGGCGGTTACCGTTGCAAGTGTTCCGGCCAAACCTCCGGAAGGACCTCCGGGCTCTCCAGAAGACAAGATTTCTCGTGAAACATCTTCCAGAGCGGATTCTGAACCTCCTGCTGACGCTGAGAGTGCGGCTGGTGCCCCTTCACTGGCTGGAGCTCCGGGTGGCGCTGGTGAAAGTGTTCCGGCCACACGTCCGGAAGCAGGCACTCCGGCGGCTCGACAAGAGGAGGCTTCTCGTGACGCCTCCACAACAAATTCAAAATCTCCTCCTGCTGTCGTTGAGAATTCCACGGATGTCCCTCCTTCTTCTCTACCTGCAACTCCAGGCGGCGCTGGTGCTAACTCTGCTGCTGGCACTGCGGCCACGACGGATTCTTCTGCCGAGGCCTCGCGAGCACCGGATTCCGCTCCCGCTGGTGATCCTCAAGGCGCAGCACATTCTACTTCTGCTGCTTCTGCTGCACCCGAATCCCCACCAGATCCAAAGCCCACAGAAGGCAGCGACCACTCCTCCCATGACCCTCCAGTGGAGCTGCGGGAAGAGACTGCTGCTGCGCCACCGACTCAGTTGTCCCAGACCGGCGAGGAGGGGGGTGCAGCTGGAGGCGCCGAAGAGGACGCCGCCAACACCACCACCGAGACTGCTTCCGGCGAAGGAAATAATATGGCGGCAAGCATGCCGGCTCCCCTTTCCTCTGCGCCCACAACGAACGCGTTGGAGAACAGTGTGGGAACTGACGCCTGCTTCCATGACACCCGTCTGCATGCCCTGCCACCGCTTGTTCTGGCTGCACTCACCTACGGGACACTGGGCTGAAGAAGTGTATGCGGGCTATTAAAGCCAGCACTCAACCACGGGATGCTTTGAGCTTCTTTTGTTTTATTGCGTAATAAGTAAGAGAAAATAATGATTGTGTGTTTTGCTTCATTTGCTTCAGCTGCGCTGCTGTGTGCTCCATGTTGTTGACCCCTGTATCCGTCACTTGGCACGCATCCCAGACACACTCATATGCACGACACGCCCACAACTGTTTGCGCGGACGCATTTTTGTGTGTGCTGGTGCATGCACACTGGAGCCATTCTTCGCAGCTCCTTGTGTTTTGTTTTTTGTGTTTTTACTTTTTTTTTTCACTTTCTTCTTTTTTCTCGGATGTTTTTTTTTTTGTTGTTACTTGTTTTTTGTGTTCATTTTGCTTGTTTTTCACTTCCTTCGGGGCGTTGTGAGTTTTTTTCATTTTTTGATGGTTTATTTTCTTTAATTTTTTCTTTTTCTTTTGTTTACTAATCTTTTGCTTCACCATCTCTTCTCTTTTTTGCTTTTGGGGGCAATCACTATGGAAGTGATTTTTCTTTTCTACTCTTCCCTCTTTTAATTGTTTCTTGCTGCACTCTTCCTGTGAGGGGTGCCGTGTGTTTCCCGCCCAACTGCTCCACTCGCACACCCACCGACACGCTCATGACGACGGCCCTGTGCGCCTCGCCTGCTGCACGCATGAGGAGGGGCCGCGACGAACGGCGTGCTGAGGGAGCCGTGACGTGTGGGCGTGCGACGAGGGCCTGTGGGGCGGAGCACACATTTCTTTCCCTCTTGTTTTGTTTTTATTGCGGCCAGGGCGGGCAGACACCCGCAGCGCCACACACACACAGCCACACCCTGCCGCCGTGTTTTTTTGTTTTCTTTTTTTGTGGATGGGTGTGTGCTGCCACCGTGCGTGATTGTTGAGGTTTGGGCCGCACCGCATGTACCGCTGCCATCCAGCTGTGCCTCCTGCTGTTCTGATGTGCCTCCCTGTGCTTCTTTTTTCAGCTTCTCCAACAGAGACCCACACACACATATGAGTGGTTGCACAGTGCTCTGCAAGAATGTATTTGCACTTCCGGTTGCGGGCGTTGCTCGGTGTGTGATGATGCGTGACGGACTGTGCCGCGATAGTCTCCTCTGGCGATGACAGTCGCTGTGCTCTCGGCACACACCCACACTCTCTTCCTTGTTCCTCTGTGGGAGTGATTGCAGCAGGGCATTGCTGCGAGCGTGATGGGGACCACGACGGCGTCACCCCTCGAGGTCCCACGCTCTGTTGGTTGTGGAGCGGCGAGGCGGTTTGCCTGCAGTCCGACTGACAGAACCGCACAGTCGTTTCATTGCGGTCACTCCGTCGGCATCACCCGCTGCGGTGGTGTCCGCAAGAGCCGCAGCCCCGATGAGGATGGCCTCGTAGTTATCTGGCAGCTCAGAACTTCAGGCCCTTCGCCCTTCAGGATTGCTCTTGCTGCTCGACTGGCGCAGCACCATCCCGGCATGGTTCTTCTGCAGGAGTGCAGGCACGAGAGTGCCCCAGCGACGAGGCTCATTGGCTGCAGTGTCTTCCGCCAGGCCTGCAGTGGGCGTGCCGGTGGCGTGGCCTTCTTGGTGCGCCACACCTTGCCCTGCGAGCGCCTGTTGCTCGTGGCACCAACTGCGTGGAGACCACCGCCTTCCGCGTGCGCCTACAGGCCTGCCCCAGCATGTACGTGGTGAACCTCTGCAGCCTTCCCACGGCAATTGCCCACACTGCTCACTTTGCGAGCAACATTCGTCGCTCAGGCCTCGCAGCGGTTACTTGCGACCTGAATTCACGCCATGAGCTGCGGGACGGTTGCTTACCATCAACGACGGCAGGAGAGGACCTCGCCGCCACCCCAAGCGGCATGGAGATTGAGCTGTCCGACGACCCGGCACAGGCAACGTGGATCAGCGGCCGCAGCGTCTCTTTTCCCGAGGTGACTGCGCAACGCGTACTGCGTGTCTCCCACTAAACGTCCACCCGTTTACATGGACTCGGACCACCATCTGCCATCCCACACTGCAGAGACGGAGGACGGCATCCCGCGACAGGCAGGCATGCTGCCACGACGGAAACATGATGCCATTTCCCTGCGTGAAGCTGACTGTGATGCTTCCACCTCGGCGTGTGCAACGCCTCTGGCTGCTGTAATCACATGGTTGGAGATGCACCGAGGCACCGTACGAGTGGCAGCCGTGACAGTCCCACAGGAACCTGGACGGACGGAATGTAGCAGGCCGAGTGTGTTGCAGCGGCAGCCTGCCCCGAGCTGAAGTGCTCCGCAAACGGGAGGACCGCAATCATGCCCTCCGCCGTGGCTTCTCCATGCTGTCAGAGGTCCGTGCGAAACAGCTTGGTGCCCTCTCGAGCCAAGGCCTGTGATGCCCCGAGGCATGGCGGCACCACGTTCCTGCCCTCTGGGATCGGCTGTGCTGCGGTGCTGTTGGGACCGCGTCTGTGCTCTGCCTCCGCCGCAACCTCTTCCCGACGTGAGCACCGCCACTCCTTGCCGACCAACAAGCGGCTGATGGACGTCCTCCTGCCCACTCCTCGGCAGACCGGCACGCGCCCTGCAGATCACAAGCAACCCTTTATGTCGGTGGTGCTGCTCCTCCCACACTGAAGAGGCAGGACCGCCCCGACCTCCTCCGGAACCTCCACCTGGCGTGTCGACGGCACCTCCTCGTAGAATGAAAAGCAGCAGATCAACGTCGCCCTGCCCAAGCTGCAGCAGCGTCTTCTCGTCCGTCCACAATATGAAGGTACACGCCCGACGCAATAACCCTGGCACTCCAATCGTTGGAGAAGGCCTCACATGTGGATTCTGCGACAGCTCCACGGTCTTCCCAACAAATGCCTCACGCGCAGGTCACTACCGAAAATGTCAAGCGTATCAACGAGCAAAAAACGGACAACGCACCTCTGCAAGCTCCAATGACAGCCGTAGCCCTTCAGCCACTCCTCTGCTGCAACCCCGACCAGCCGCTGAGCCCCCGACAATCCACGGGAGGCCCTGCCGCACACGCTGTGGGAATGCCGCCGTCCTCGAAAACTCAGCATCCGACTATTTGGGAACACACCCTCTCGCACGACAGCATCTTTCAAGAAGGAAAAACTGGCCACATCGCCACGGACAGCCCGCAGGCAATTAACGAAAAGTGGCAGCAAAGTATAACGAAACAAATATTTCCCTTTTCTCAGCATAAAAAAACGTCACCTTCACACTCGCAATTGCCACCAATGAATTCATTGCGTACTACCGCCCTGAGTTGCAATACTTCCTGGTACCCTCCATGTCCCTTGTCAACACATTGATGCGGGTGGGCGCCCATCCATTCCTCCCAATGACGGTGCATGTCTGCGACGCACCCTCAGATCCAAAAGGCACGTCCCTCACCACAGCCGGGATCGACTTCGCCCTGTCCACACGCACCGCTTTGTCAGAGGAGCAGGAGTACGTCAGGCTGGCAGCAAAGCACCCGCCAGCACAACACATCACAAACTTAACAGCACCAGCAGCACTGCAGAGCGTGGGGTGACGTGGATCAACTGACGCATGCTGTACGTAAAAGAAAATACTTCATGGCTTGACAAGAATAGGAAACACTGACAATATCTCAAAAGAAAAAATACAAAAAAAGAATTTAGGCGTCCGCAGTCAAAGCAACCCACCAATTCAAAAACAAGGGTAATGGGTACACTCAACCACAAAACACAAGTAAAACAGCAACAAAAAGCCGAAGCGTGGGACGATCAGCGCACACACTCTCATTGCTCCCGTAAAGCAAAACACACACACAGGGAGAGAGGGAGAGAGAGAGAGGTCGCCCACTCAATGCAATAGAAACAGAAACAGTTACGGTGCTCCGCCCATGCAGCCAGGCAGGACGGCAGCGGTGCGTGTGGTGCAAAAGAGAGCACCAACGGGACTGCATGGGTGTGCATGCATCTATACAATGGGCACATTATGTGTGTGCATCGTGGGGTGGGGTGAGGGCGAGAGTCCATGCAAGGGGACACACACAGAGAGAGAGAGAGAAAGACGAGTGTGTGTGCGGGCGGTGCACGGCTCTCTCTCCCTCACTCTCACGCGGCCACCACCGCAGCCGCAGCCGCACACGCAACAACAAGAAGCAAAAGAGGGGAGGTGGTGTGGGAGACCGCGGTGCTGCCGTCACTGTTGGCAATCTTTGTCGTCGTATCATTTGTGTTGGCGGTACCTGTTGATTGGGGTGCCGCATCACTCATTTTGACGGTGTTGCTCTCACTAACGTCAGTCGGTGTCGTGGAACTTGTTTGAGTAGTAATGGCCGGTGCGGCTGTGGAAGTTTCCCGAGGTTGTTCCAAGGAAGGAGTGACATTTTCACGTTCCTGCCACTCTTCTAACGGTGCGGCATCAATAATTTCAGTACTGCTCGGAGTACCTTCTGTGCGTTCCTCACTATTACTGCTGACAACATCGTCGTTACCTGAAGGAGATGGCTGATCAATACTCTGTTGATTTCCATTTGATACATTCTTATTTTCCTCCTGATTGAGTGAAGTCTCCGGTTCCCCTGGTGGACCTTCGTGTTGTACATCTTGCCGCTTTCCGCCCGATGATTGTGAATGTGACAGTGAATCCGTAGGCTCGGAGCTGGATGGTGTCTGCTGTGTTGTTGATACAGGCTGCAAAGGAGCTTCCAATGACACTTCCCTTGATGCGGAACCCTCAACGTTGTTCAGCTGTGTTTGCTCTGCGGAATGTTTTCCCGCTCCACCGGGCACCGTATGATCGGCAGGATTGTGGATAACTCCAGCACCACTCGCAGGATTAACAGGTGGCTCGACAACTGGTAGCTGACCCTCAGTGCATCCGCCTCCGCCGGCACCGCACCACAGCACGCAAAGGGCACACACCAGCAGCACACGGCCAGTCATCATCATCGCCATCACTCCTGTCACTTGCGTGTAGCCTTCAGCACAAACTAACTCCCCGTCAACGCAGAGTGAAAGCAAAAGAAGAGACACAGCACAGTAAAAAACACCAGCAGCAGCAGCAAAGCAACAAATGGAAGCAGCCCAGCAGCGGCAGCGCACACCACGAGGCAGTTGAAAACAATGAAAGGGCAAAAAAACACAGCGCCCCACAGCAAGTAAACAAAAAAAACACACGAAGCAATTAAAAAAAAAAACACAGGTAAACAATCAAAAACAAAAGTAAAAGCAATTAAAAAAACACACAAAACAAGGAGCTGCACAGTATGGCTTTAGTGCGCATGCACCCATCCTCAAATGTGATTCCACGCAAACAGTTGTGTGCGTGCCATGCGTAGGAGTGTGTCTGGGATGCGTTCAACGTGACGGAAGCGGGGAGCGGCAACGCGGAGCACACAGCAGCGCAGCTGAAGCAAATGAAGCAAATCACAATCATTATTTTCTCTTATTTATTTACATCGGACAAAAGTAGACGCGCACAAATCCCCGTGGTTGAGTGCTGGCACGCACAGCCCGCATACAATTCTTCAGCCCACAGCGGTGTACGCCAGCGCGGATGCGGCGAGCAGCAGCGGGGCACACACCCACGCAGAGCTGCTGAGGCTGCCGTCGATTTCACGAAGACGTGACGGTGCGCGGGTGGTGGTCGTGGTTGGCGCCTCTGTAGTCGTGGTACTTGGTGCCTTTGTGGTCGTGGTCGTGGTCGTCTTGGAAGGATCTTCAGCTTCCTGATTTGATTGTTCTGTGGATGGTTTCGTGCTACTTAGTGATACCGTCGTATCGTTCTTACCTCCTGTCGTACCATTCTTATCTTTTGGCTGTTCCGGACCGGTTAGACCTCCTCCACCTACAGCAGTAATTCCCGGTTCCTCATCGGACCCCAGAATTGGCAGATTTGACTGAACGGCCTCCTGTACTACTGCCTCTGGTGAAAGACGCGGTGAAATGGCGCCGTTTGTGTTAGCTTTATCTTCATTCTTCGTGGTCGTCTGGACGGAAGCTTGGGCTTGCTCAACGGTCTCCTGACCTGTTAACTCCGGTGCTCCGGTAGCTGAGCTGGTGTCTTTTCCATTCGGTCCAGCCGTCATGGTCGCCTCGGCAGGATCCCCCGCCGTCAGAGGCTCCGTCGCGCACACGTAAGGACAGCAGCACAGAGCGAGCACCAACAGGGCGCACAGCAGACGGCACGTCATCATCATCGTGAGTGTGGTCGTTCAGTGGTGTGGAGCTGGTCTGCACAGTGAGGGACATGGAGAGCAACAGGGGAGACGAGAGGTGCGGCAGACACACACAGAGGGCACACCACATGAGGAGAGGGCAGCAGCCAGGCATGCACCGTACGCCGCACACCACGCACGACACACACTCCAATCCACGGCAACAGGCGCACACACACACACAGCCCTGCCGCAACACCAACACACAGATGGAAGAGGGAGAAGCAAACAGGAGCGGCACACAAGGCTCCACCGCATGCACATACGGCGAGAGCGGTCCGTCGTGTCGGCACCCCTCACGGAGTGTACGCACACACACAAGAGGAGGTGCAGCGCACACAGCAACACAAAAGCAAAGTAACAATTAAAAAGGAGAGATCCCCGCACACCACGTGAATTGTTGGTCCACGGGAAGTGCAGCCAATATTCATCACAAAAACAGTTCAGTTGCCTTTAGCCCTCGTTCATATTCAGCGCACACCACTTCATGCAGGCACGGCAAACATCGCAGCAGCATCACACTCAAAAAAAAGTGCAAGGAATGGAATAAGGCAAGCAACCATTCATTTGCTTTTCTGTTTGGATGTTGGCAGATGTCTGCTTGCGTTTTGTTGTGTTTTTGCGGAGGGCAAACCCTCATGCCTGGGTCGTGTGTTGGGATTTCTGCAGGGTGCACAATTATTATTTATTTTCCTCTTGTGAATGTTTCTTGTGTGGGTGCAGCCAATAATTCGGTTTGTGTTGTTCCTGCCTTTCGCTGGTAAAGTGTTGCAATAGATGTTTGTTTTTCCTTTCGTTGCTGTGGCTCCTGATTCCTCACCGTTTATTGCGGTGGAAATAAAAATATGTGAGTGGACTCCCACACACCAGAACGCACCTTCGCTCCTATTTATTGGTGCATGGAAGGGCATGTGTGTTTGGTGGTGTCTCGTCCATATATTTTGTGGGTGTACATTCCCCTGCAGGCTGAGGGCGGGGTGACGCTCCGTCGCGGTGCACTTCCCTCGCATGCCGCCCACTGTGATTCATCATGCATCACCCCCTCACATATTCCGTGGTGCCACACCGTTGATATTATTGCAGCCGCTGTGATTCCGCGTACTTCACGCATTTGATTGTGCCACAACACATCCGCTCGTGTGGCCGCCGCATCCAAACAGCGGTGCCCAACACCGTGAGCGGCAGTCCACATCCTTGCATGTCCCAACGCAGTGGTGTTTGACTGTCAGCCAGGCGTCAGACAACAAGAGAGTCTTGTGCTGGCTGTGCAACACACGGAGCTGCAGTGAATGACTCGGGCGGGGACGCATCTATTTGTCGCAAAGCAGTGAAAAGGAGTCGGACAATATAATGCCGGCTGCATTCACGACACCATATCCACAGCCAAAGCATGCGATGTGATGTGTGCTTCACTGTTGCTGTGAAATGCCTGCAGACGACGTCACTAGTGGAGGCATGCCACCTATGATCGGCGGACAGACAATAATCGGCATGGGAGGCCACAAAAGACAGCAACGACGCCAGCAGCAGGAGCAGCCCTCTCTCTCTCTCTGTTGCCTCCGAGAAGTAAATATTACACCAGCCACAGCTGACTGTGCCATCGTGACACTCCATGCACGTCGTGGCTGCGTCAACACATCCTTTTCCCTGCAGCGCCTCAAAAGATGACTCACTCCGTCCACTAAGTGCATCGGTGTGGGCCGTGCCTCGGCTGTTCGTGAGGACCACAACGATGTGAGGGTCACCGAGTCGCAGCATGTTTGTTGTGACGTTGTTGCATGGCACACACACACACACACACGCAGCGCCTGCATCCCTCCCTTTTGTGTCCGCCCTCTGCCAGAGTGGCCACACACACGGGCAGCAGCAAAATCGCTTCACCCTCGACGATCCAAAGTCAACACCGACATCCCTCGCGACGCAAATATCTCAGTTGCCAGCACGGGCTTCCTGTCGCTCTGCCATCGACGCTAAAACACGGCACAGTGCACGCACCTATTTTCCTCGTGTGCTGTCAGCCGTTTGCTTCACACATTCTTCGGTGGGCTGACGTCCATAAAAGCACGCCACAAAAGGCCACTGTGATCGCACACGCTCTTGCGATGAGCGTCGGTGCGTGCATGGATCCGCTGCTCACACGTGCTGGCAGGCAGCCTGCAGCCGGTGCCCTCGTGCCAGTTCATCGGCTCCAGCACGGAAAAGAGAAAATGGCCCATTCCCGATGCACTTATTCCCACCAGCAGCACCAACACGCTGGTCGCCAGCCGTCATTCCTCAGCACATCCAGGAATGCTGAAAAGTGAAGTGGAGCTGTCAGCCAGCAATGCCACAATCCCCGCACACATGTCGGCTCCACCAGAGAAGACACACAAATCACAAACAACACCCTTCACATGTCATCCGAACATCATTCCGACACACCGCGATACGCCAAACAGAAGTATTCGTCACCCCAATGCACCTCCCCACACAATCACATAGTCCATGCACCACGCACGGCAGCAGCCGACACTCGGTCAAACAAATGTTCCTCGGATCAGTGTTATCCACGTGCTGCGGTGGGAAGTAAACAAAAGAGAAGAGCCGCCAAACCCCAAAAGAGTGCCACGACTGGCCGCAAGTCAACGGAACGCAGTCACTCAAATGAATTCAGTCCTCATGCCCTCAACCTCCCACCTTCTCCCAAAAAACCCGATAACCGCAAATCAAATACCGTCTCGATTAAACTTTGCGTTAAAGCACCAGATAAAGCCGCAGTGCCTTATGCTGTAATCCTGGGACATTGTTGTCGCCTTCACGGAGACAGGCGCACATCTGTTATTCACAACGACGCTGAACACCTGCAATGGCCTCTTCAAAACGCAATTACCCTACCAACTCAGAAAACGCCAATGCACCATCGGCCCGTACCAAAACTTAAAAAACAGCAAAATTCCTCACACAAAAACAAAAGTAGACCGCACCACTCTGCCATCGGCCTCGGCTGGGTGCGGAGCTGGTGCGTCCCAGCACACCATGCAGTCCTTTCTGGTCGGCTGCGTCCACAGTGTGTTTTGCACCACGGTGTCGAGGTAATTGCGCCGTGTCCGGCCCCCACTCACCTCCACAATACGGAAGTACTGTACCGCGACAGTTGTACAACATCCCTTGGCATTAGTGCACCAACGGAAGATACATCTGTCTGCTTGGAAGCCAATCCTCTCACGCTCCGGAAGATACTTTGGCATCGTGCACTCACACAACACGAACGCCATGCACGTTACCATAATCACGGGGATTTGCGCTCCCTTATCCACTCGGAACTTATGCCGTTGTCCATGCATAGGAAAGCGGCGACATCAATCCCGCTTCCAACAAATGCCGTTATTAATGGATTAGAACGGGTATGTGGCACTATTGGGATAACACACAACCACAATCACGCTCCTCCTATTACCCAACATCGTATTTTTCCCTGCGACACTGTGAGTTGCAATAAAGTGGAATTTTATCAGCCACGCTTTGCCAACGACGCCTCTGAAGGTGTCAAGCGCACGGCTTTTAAATCACTTTACCCCTCTCTAAGAAAATTACGATTTTGAATTATGGACAGACGTTTCTTCATCACTCGCTGAACTTGCATCTGGATCCGCTGCACCATTATACGGCCCCACAAAGACAAATGATCTCCCTGTGGAGGTCCATCGTGCAGCAACTGGCAGACTCGCATGCTCATAGAGAGCAGAGTGCCTTGCCACTGAAATTGGCTTTAGACATCTCATACCTCCTCGTCCGGAAACATCCCAATCGCCCACACGAGTCCTGGTGGCAACAAACTCCCTTTCGGCAATTGAGGCACTCCGCGTTGCCCACTGGCCATGCGAGAATGCGTTGCTGAAGGGATTTGGGTTATGCTGCTTTCCTTGGTGAAGCGATTTCACCCTGCAGACTTTATATTTTCCCCATCGCACTGCGGTGCCCTACGCAATGAGGCCGCTGACGAAGAAGCCACGATTGCACGATCCCTGCAGCAATGAGGCATCCCAATCTGGCACGTGGACTTCCCTACCGCCGTCAATAGGTTGTACTGGAAGGAAGTCCAGGAGGAAGAAGAAGTCGTGCACACCGCACGCCAGGCGCTCGTCTGTGTGGCAAGCACCCCATTCCTGGTGTCCAGGCAGACATCGGGCATCGAATCACGACTTTGTGCGCAGGTGCGATGCGACTCCTGCCCACTCCTCGGCAGACCGGCACGCGCCCTGCAGATCACAAGCAACCCTTTATGTCGGTGGTGCTGCTTCTCTCACACTGAAGAGGCAGGACCACCCCGACCTCCTCCGGAACCTCCACCTGGCGTGTCCACGGCACCTCCTCGTAGAATGAAAAGCAGCAGATCAACGTCGCCCTGCCCAAGCTGCAGCAGCGTCTTCTCGTCCGTCCACAATATGAAGGCACACGCCCGACGCAATAACCCTGGCACTCCAATCGTTGGAGAAGGCCTCACATGTGGATTCTGCGACAGCTCCACGGTCTTCCCAACAAATGCCTCACGCGCAGGTCACTACCGAAAATGTCAAGCGTATCAACGAGCAAAAAACGGACAACGCACCTCTGCAAGCTCCAATGACAGCCGTAGCCCTTCAGCCACTCCTCCGCTGCAACCCCACCAGCCGCTGAGCCCCGACAATCCACGGGAGGCCCTGCCGCACACGCTGTGGGAATGCCGCCGTCCTCGACAACTCAGCATCCGACTATTTGGGAACACACCCTCTCGCACGACAGCAACGTTCAGAAAGAAGGAAAAACTGGCCGCATCGCTACGGACAGCCCGCAGGCAATTAACGAACAACGGCAGCAAAGTATAATGAAACAAATATTTCCCTTTTCTCAGCATAGAAAAACGTCACCTTCACACTCGCAATTGCCACCAATGAATTCATTGCGCAATACCGCTCCGAGCTGCAATACTTCCTGGTACCATCCAGGTCCCTTGTCGACACATTGATGCGGGTGGGCGCCCATCCATTCCTCCCAATGACGCTGCATGTCTGCGACGCACCCTCAGATCCAAAAGGCACGTCCCTCACCACAGCCGGGATCGACTTCGCCCTGTCCGCACGCATCGCTTTGTCAGAGGAGCAGGAGCACGTCAGGCTGGCAGCAAAGCACCCGCCAGCACAACACATCACAAACTTAATAGCAACCAGCAGCACTGCAGACCGTGGGGTGACGTGGATCAACTGACACATGCTGTAAGTGAAGGAAAACATTTCATGGCTTGACACGGAAAAAAAACACTGACAATATCTCAAAAGAAAAGAAAAAATACAAAAAGAGAATTTAGGCGTCCGCAGTCAAAGCAAGCCACCAATTCAAAAACAAGGGTAATGGGTGCTCTTAACCACAACACAAGTAAAACAGCAACAAAAAGCCGAAGCGTGGGACGACCAGCGCACACACTCTCATTGCTCCCGTAAAGCAAAACACACACAGGGAGAGAGATAGAGGTCGCCCACTCAATGCAATGGAAAAAAAACAGAAACAGTTACGGTGCTCCGCCCATGCAGCCAGGCAGGACGGCAGCGGTGCGTGTGGTGCAAAAGAGAGCACCAACGGGCCTGCATGGGTGTGCATGCATATATACAATGGGCACATTATGTGTGTGCATCGTGGGGTGGGGTGAGGGCGAGAGTCCATGCAATGGGACACACACAGAGAGTGAGAGAAAGACGAGTGTGTGTGCGGGCGGTGCACGGCTCTCTCTCCCTCACTCTCACGCGGCCACCGCAGCAGCAGCCGCACACGCAGCAAGAAGAAGAAGAAGCAAAAGAGGGGAGGTGGTGTGGGAGACTGCGGTGCTGCCGTCACTGTTTTGTGCATTCACCGTATAAGTTGTGTTGGCGGGGGTTTTTATTGGTGTTTGTGGTGCTGTCTCACTGAGAGTTGGAACAACGTTGGTATTGCCAGTTTCAAGGCTGTCGTGTTGTTCTTCAGAGCTTTGAGCATCATCCTTATCTGCCTTATTCTGGACATGATCACCGCTGCCACTTGTAGAGGAAGATGAGGTTGTTGGTTCTGCTGGACTGCCGGCTGCTGCATTCTTCGTCGAATCCTCTGTGTCTGTGTCATGACTGTGCCGCCCTTGTGTAGCATCCCCTGAAGGTGGTTGCGTTGCTTTTGATTCCATTTTGGATTCTGACGGCGTGTTTTCTTTCGTTACTTTTTTCGGATTCTGTGAGTTTTTTGGTTCCGTTGGTGGGCTTCCTTCACTCTCTGATAATGATGATGCAGGTCCACCCGATGGTTTTGTTGGTGCAGGTCCACCCGATGGTGGTGCGGGTAATGATTGTGGTACCTCCGCATTATTTCCCCTCTCTTGTGTCTCGGGTTGTAATTTGTTTTCTTCTTTTTCTCTTCCTGTTTCTTCTTCGTCTCTCTCTTCATCATCGCCCGAATTATTGCGAGGGTCAACATCTCCTTTTGTCTCTGTGTCCGTGGGCAATTGGTTAATGTCGGAGGTACCCGTCGAAGAGGGTTTTTCACGAGGAAGACTGGAAGTGCTGCCAGATGAAGAGGACAATTGATCGGTGGTTTGGTCTTGGGACTCCTTTGGCTCTTTGCTGTCGGGATCCAAGTTTTTTTTTTCATTCCCTTTTTGGCCAGCCATAAGTGACTGCCTGTTTTCATCACCTGTCCCTGGCACTCCAGGCCCAGACGGCAGGGATGCTGCTCCTGCACCTGCAGCACCCTGCCCTCCTCCTGCACCAGGCGCTTCATTGTCCTCACTACCAGCCAGCAGACTACTAGGCGATTTTCCTCCCACACTGTCCAATGGGGCATCAACACTTTCTAAATCTTCTCCTTCTCTTTCCCCAGCTTCAACCACCTTTATTAATCCCATTCGGGTGGAAATCAACCCGAAATCCGCCTTCAGGCGCACCCTGTCATTTCCTCCATTATGCGTGTGCGTCAAGACGTTCCCATCATCCTCAACGCAGCGGTTGTCCATTGCAATTCCAAAAACAGTGACGCACCACAGCACGCAGAGGGCACACACCAGCAGCACACGGCCAGTCATCATCATCGCCATCACTCCTGTCACTTGCGTGCAGCCTTCAGCACAAACTAAATCCCCGTCAACGCAGAGTGAAAGCAAAAGAGAAAAGAGAGACAAGTCACTCAGCCACTTACAGTGACAACAACAACATCCCAGCAACACCATAAGGCAGTTGGAATCGGTGCGATTGCAAACAACACACACAGCCCTGCAAACCAGAATCCAAAAAGTAAAAAAGCACAAAAACAGAGTTGAGGGCCTGGGAAGACTCCCAAAAAGTAAAAAAAATGATCAGGCACGACTTCCATTTCATGTGCCAAGCAGCATAAAACGACTGTGCGTTGTTGTGGATACATAACTGTTTCACAAGAAAAAAAATAAAATAAAAAACAATTGTACTGTTCCACCAGCCCACACAAAACAATACTCACATTTCATTGCGGCATCCGGCCTGTTCCTCCAATGCTCGTATTGTGCAGTCCACGGCACGCACAGCAGTAAGGCTGGCAACGGTGTGGGCCACAAACAACAAATAAAAGTAAGAAGCACTTCACTCATGACAGTGCACAGCAATTAACCATCGGAAAGAAAAAGGAAAAGAAGGGGTGCTGACTATCCCATCCGTGCACCAGCAGCAGCAGATAATAGCAATGAATCATTTAAAATAAGAAAAGAAAACACGCGGAAAAGCGGCACGTACTGTCCATTAGAAATCGCACAACCGCATTCTACGGCTCATAAACATGCCACGTCCCCACACACTCCTTGAAGTAGGGGCAGAAAATGCCCAAGGCACACACCCATGGACGGCGCCGTCACCAATTCATTTTGGGAACAATAAAACAGTAGAGCCATTGACATCAGTGATGCTGTTTCCCGCGCAAATTCCCCCTTTGGCGGGCAGTGGCACCGCTTCCCCCGCAGCCGCGTCAATGCCCAGATCCTGTGGCAGTTTGGCCGCAAAATTCCCGGGGCACAGTGTCGCTTTTCCCTCCTTGCAATCCGCTTCAGTCTGTTTGCCACGCAAAAGGGGCATCTGTAGTTCCTGCCTGGTCAGTGGGCGGTTGCACAGACAGAAATGCGCCAGCGTCACCTAACTGCAGCCTGAGCCACTGCAACCGTCACCTCCAACGTAGAAGCATGAGACGTCGAGCAACTGCGCCCCACGTGTAACTGTCGTTGCTGAGCTCCCCAAAATTTTGCCACCCACGCACACGGTGCCCATGCCTTTCTGGAGCCCAACTGCCACCCGGTACGTTCTCTCCAGCCCCCAGTTCCCGTGCTGCACTTCTCCCGCCTCACCGTCAAACGCCACCTCCCACTTATTGTCCGCCGTGACTGACAGTCCCACCATCCTCACGCTCCCAGTGCCACCCACAGCCACCATAAGGGCGCTGCCGCTGCCTGCAGGAGCCGCCCCAATCGTCGCCGTCGCCACAAGAGTGAAGCCTTTGTTCACAATGTGGAATCGTTGATTCCGCCACCGATTACCCATAGGCCACTCTGCCCACACCCCAGGCCCCTCAAACGTCGCACCGCCCTCAACCTTCGTTGCTGTCCTAATCACCGTGGCACTCGCCGCGAGATATTCCTTCACCCAGCAATCCCTCTCACCCTCGTTGGACAAATATCCGACTAGTCCATTCGTGGGCGTAGGAGTGCTGCAGGCACCGTCGGATGCGGTTCCCTCTTTGCTGGTGGAAGTGCAAGGCGTTTCGACGTTCTTGTCGACTGCATCCCAATTCCTCAGCGCAGTATTTATTTCATCCAGCTGCTCAGTGAGGGTGCGAGCACAACACGCCCTTGTCCTGCATTCCACTCGTACAGGGCAAACACTTCACCACCTTTGTACTGCAGGGTATCTGCGTTTTTGAAAACACCATCAGCAAATAACGGTCCAATGGGGTAAAACCGATTCATATCAGTCATATAAAGAAGCAACATGCTCGTGGCTCTCCGAATATTATTCTGCCTGGGAAAAGCAAACAGCATTACACTCCTCCCCTCGATGGATGCCGTCACAATTTCGAGTCGACAACCAGTCGTAGCACTCTTCAAGGCCTCACTCAAGACATTCAAATATGCTCCGCCGAATTACATCCATTTCTCCCTCATTCCACAGGACTCATCCACTTTCCCGTCATGGCCTCCATGCGTGGCGGCCATGAGGGGTTTTCCCTCCCACTCAAAGAGATCGGGATCAGCGCAATCCCGTCAGCAAAAACCTCCGCAGGGAACACCCAATTCCTGCCACAGCCCTTCAAATGGATGATGTTGCAGACTTTTGTGTTGTCCCCCTTCAAAGCCACAAGGGGAAACACAATCGCGGTGCCATTCGCCACCACGCCCCTGCCGCTAATACCCCAGAAACCATTCCATGACTTCGCTCGTAGCTGACCGTCAACAACAGCCTTGGAAAGTTTCCCAGCACTCCACGTGATGCGTTTGCCCACATCGTTGGAGACCAACAACCTTACCTTTAAAAAGGCACAAGCTCCCAAATGTGTGGAGTTTCCAAAATCGCGCTGGCATTTTTCGCAGGAAGGCGTTCCACAGGGAGAAAAATATTGCCGTCTTTCGTCAACGCCTTGCGACCGTTCAATTGAGACGCATGAACCGCCTCTTCTCTTCGTTCCACGGCAATGTCCGTCCTCCAGTCCGTCACGCTCTCCGCTGCAATTCCTTTCGTCCACTCCTCCCGTGTAAAACTCACGTACTTTGCCCAAATGCCAACACTGGCACTAGAAGGGACTCCCTAATTGGCCTTGGCAATACCCACAATCAAGCCATAGTATTTCAAAAAGAAAACGGCCAATAAACGACTTAACAACATTTTCTCCATAGCTGTTGCCTCTCAAATGCGCCAGAAGACACCTTCGTTTCCCGCCATACAAAAATAACCGTAGGCTTTGGATCACCCACCCTCTTTGCACGCGCAACTCCAGTGCCACAGCACACCATCACAAAAAGGAGGAGGAGCAGCACCGCGGAAGTAAACACACGCCGCGACATGTTGGGCCCCCGCGGCTCACTCTCTCTTCCTTCCCTCCTCCTTCCGCTGAATCCGGTCACGCGGCGACGGTTGTGTGTGCGGGGTGCCATGACAGCAGCAACACGTGAGTGCATATAAATATGTGTGTGTGGGCGGTGTGTGTGCCGTTGTTCCTTTCAGTGCCCTCGAATTTCACAGTAGCGATTAGCGCTTGTTTGCTTTCCTTTTCAAGTGTGTGTGTCAGAAATGGGGAGAAGAGCACAGGGAAGCACATTAGACACACCAATGGGGTGCACAGCGTCTCACTGCAGCAGCAGCAATCATTTATTCCAACCACTCACACGCCGAGGTTGAAGGGCTGTGTGTTTTTTTCAAAAAAGGCGACGCACAACCTCCAACAGACGTGCCAGCGCTCATAGCCAAAACAAAAAAAAAAGGGATACCCGCCTCGTGGGCAACAGGACAACATCTCCGGCCCACACAAAAAAGCAGCGGGAAAAGCACTAAACAGACAACAGTCAGCGGCACACACGCCAGACCCAGCTGTGCCGCACGGAGCCAGTCGCCTGCCCTGTTGCTGAGAAACACAGCATGGAATATCCGCCGGCCATTGCGTCGGGGATGCACGCCAAGCCGTGCACAAAATCCCACCAGGACCCAAAGCATTAACTCTAAATTCGCACACATCCCCCACAGTCGCATCCTCGCCATTCCGAGCTGTGCCTCAGAAAGTGGTGAAGGGCAGCGTCGAAGGAGTCAAACGCCTCCGCACCGTCGCGGAGCATCAGACTGAATGAAAGGCCAAAGTCCTCCACACTCATCACAGACGCGTCACACGCGCCGCCGTACTTCTCCCTCATGGAACGCCAATCAAAAGTAAATGTCAACTCCCTCTTTCCCAGGGCGGCGGCGTGGGCCACTTCAAACGCCGTCCCGCAGTCCGGCCCATCCAAGCAAAACAGACACAGGTCCGCAATGACGGCGTCGCGCCGCCTTACCATCTCCATTTTCTTCACCCACATCTCCCCAGCCCCTGGGGCCATGTTTCCAGCGGGAATGAGCGGCAACGCGCAGTGCACCCACAGAGCCGTGCGCACACGATCCTAGCACGCCGCACCCGTGTCTGCGTCGAACACAGCGGGGTCAGCAATGTACACTCCACACATTGTGAAACTGCCACCTTGGCTCCTGTCCTTCCGCTCCTCCAAACGTAAAAGAAAAGGAAGCGGAAGAAGTAAATCAGAGAACGGCGCCGTCGCAACAAGGCAGAAGCACGAGGAGCACCACTCACGCAGGACAGGCGTCGCCCGCAAGCAACGGAAACACAAGTTGAAGACAGAGGATGCCAGGAGCACAAAAATGCAGGCCTCCTCGGAAGACTGCGCCCTCAATAAAATGAACGCGCGGCAAGCAAATTAAAAACAACTGTGACGCCGCTGACGCGGCAAGCGGCAGACAGCGACGGGCAAGGTGCCGCTGACGCTACTGCATTGTCCACATTCCGCTCCGCCGCCCTCGCCCAGCGCCCGGCGTGGAGCGTGACGCAGAAAAGAGGAAAAAAAAGATGCGGATCGCATCGTTAGAGTGTGGAGGGTCCACGTATTGCAGACAACGGGCCCACGCACGTGCCGTCCATGCCGCCTACATCAAGACACCTCGGAGAGCAGAAATACGGCCTCCACGCCATCCAGCGCGTTGCTGGGGCGGCACGGTAGTGGTGAGGCAAACACACACACACCTCATCCACAATGCGGCAAGTGAACGGCAAAAGAGCACAGCAACCACAACGCAAACTCCACACACGCGCAGAAGGGAGCGCGCTCAGCCCGTCACTTGTTTGTTAGTGAGTGTGTGCGTGGGATGGACGCCACACCAGCAGCAGCTTCGACGGCATCGACGTCTCATACAATACAACACTCGGCATTCCACCTCGTGACTCCGGGCCCCAGAAAAACAATATGTGGGTGCAGCACCTCCACCATTCAAGCCAGAAGCACGGCGCATCCAACAAACCCGCCTCCCACCCCATCGTGTGGGCAACACAATGCAGCGGAAAGCCCACCCATTAGTGTTAGCAATACAATCCCCACGCGCTGTGCACCACAGTGTCAGCTGCGTAAGCATGTGCGACTTTCAGACAATGCAGAACAAAAACAAAAAACGCATTGACGATGCACAGTGGTCCGAAAGAAAAACATATATCACAGCCATCCTCCGTCTGCAGCACGGGATAGTGGCCGCACAGGCTGCAGTTGCGGCCGTACTCGCACGCCTTCAGCGTTCACAGCATGTGCAACATGGCGTGTGTATGTTTACTTATGCTTGTGTGCATGTCAGCGCCTATACATGCAGAGCAGCTATGCCGCAGAAGAGAATTCAAAGAGAACAAAGGGCAGAGAGAAGGACAGCACACACAAATTACTCATATCATCAGAAAAAACGCAGCCCGCGGAATGGGTGCTCTCAACCACAAAACAATAAAAGAAACAAAACAAGCCGAAGCGTGGGACGACCAGCGCACACACTCTCATTGCTCCCGTGAAGCAAAACACACACACAGGGAGAGAGAGAGAGAGAGAGGTCGCCCACTCAATGCAATAAAAACAAAAAACAGTTACGGTGCTCCGCCCATGCAGCCAGGCAGGACGGCAGCGGTGCGTGTCGTGCAAAAGAGAGCACCAACGGGCCTGCATGGGTGTGCATGCATATATACAATGGGCACATTATGTGTGTGCCTCGTGGGGTGAGGTGAGGGCGAGAGTCTCATGCAGGGGACACACACAGAGAGTGAGTGAAAGACGAGTGTGTGTGCGGGCGGTGCACCGCTCTCTCTCCC